GGTAGCACTATGGAAAACTGGTAACCCTGGAAACAAAAACATCTGTGTCATGGAGACACACATGGACAACAAACGTTAGAAGGCTTATGATCATTGCCCACTTCACAACCGTGGAGAAAGTCATGCAATGCTGAGAAAAATTCATGGATTATAAAAGAATATCACAGATGGGTATGAGAGAATTGAAAGAGACTGTCACCAGCACATTGAATGGATTCATTCAGTACAAGATTGGTCAACTCCATTTATCCAAGCATTGTATACTCTGAGACAAGTCACTTCCACTGCTCTCAGCTGTTTCACTGAGATCACATTGACGTTATGATACAATAGAGGTCTAACACTTCTCCAGCACCAGTTGCATCTTAACACTGGCAAATGTAAGTACCAGCATGTGAGCCTTGATATACCCTGGATCAGACACTCATAATGGTGCCAGTAATCAAACAGCAACAGATTAGACGATTAAAGATCAGGCAATTTTACAAACAAGAAAAGCGTTTACAGTACACCCCCTGGCACCACAATAAAAGGCAGGAATGAAGTTTTATGTCCCTCTCAGATAGGACTGAGCAAAGTCAGGGGAGGGCCCTGAAAATTCTTCAAAGCATTTTACATTCAAGAATGTCAGGCTGGGGGTTTGAACCATGGTCAAAGCCAAGACAGCAGAAATTTGTTATAACTTTTTGCAAGTTGGTACCACAAAGAAGTACCCAGAGCTTTGTAAAACACATTTGCCTATGCCAGTTCACCTACAGCCCTGTGGCAAAAGCAGGGTAACTTGTCCTAGAACATCATTGACTTCACTATCCCACCTGAATTATTAATAGAAACTCCCACACCTCACTACATTTTGTGGTTCTTCGATGTAATGCACAGTATCAAGTTACAATAAACATAAAGGCAAAACTGGCCGTGAATCAAACCTCATTATTTACACAGCTCAAAAGAATATTTATGGAGATCAGAATGATTTTTTGTTGTTGTATCTTGCCATAAACCTAGTCTTATCATCTCTATGTGTCAACAGGTCATTCATAAAAGCCTAGCCCTCAAGTTCAAGCACATGGCGGATTGGAAAACAAATTTGAAAAACCTTCTTGAGGCTTTAATAGATTACATATATGGTAAGACAATAGCCTTGCTTCATTGATGTAAAAGAATTTCACAAGCTTTATACAAAGAACTTTTTCAAGCCTATTTAAATGTTTTAATTGATTTCCGCACGTCAAAAGAGCTCCAAAGTTTTGATAGCTTATTCATAGGGCCCAAGTTTTTTCTAGCCAAAAGTGAGCGTTGACATTGCATCCACTTATTTTTTAAATATGTTACAATTCAATAATGCATATCAAGTTTAGCTCTCAAATGGATCTATATAAAATGCGAGAGCAAAACATACAATTCAATAAATTTTGAGTAGAATTGTGCAGTAAATGGCAACTATTAAAGAACACAAGAATCTTATGAGTCAAACAATACTTCTTTCTTTCAAAAAAGAAAAAAAGAAGGAATGAATTGAAAACATAGAATAAACAGTGAGTAATAAAAAAACAAAAGTAAGCAGAAGAAAAGACAAAACATTTCCTTTCTTTAGTGAAAGGTAAAGGAAACAAAAAATTCATTCTCAAATCACTTAATAAAATGAAAGAGATAACCATTATATTCAACTCCTTTGAAAGCAAGAAAAAGTCATGACCATAAAGGAAAAACACAATTTCAGGGGAATATAAAGAGAGAGTAAACTCATGATACTGTTAAACACACAAAGAGAAAAAAAGAACTGTAACATTTATAATTAATACTAGCAGCATGATGCAAGACTTCTTTATGTTGATTCCTAAAATGCATAAAAATATCAGGCTTTTAAAAATCTAAGCCTGAACCTCCCCATAAAGCATAAATGAAGATATCACCTTTTTTAAAAATCACAATCTGTGATATTCACACGGATATTTCATGTGTTACAAGTAACAAATGCTCAGCAAAAAGCATGAAATAATGAATGACAAACAAAGAGGAACCAAAAAGAAAAAAATAAATTGATAAAAGAACCGAGTCCAGGGCAGAAAAGTTTGCTTTTGCCTCAAGCACAATTCAGCCAAAGGTACTTAATATACGAGACAAAAAAATAGGAACTAAGACTAAACAGATTATTTTGTCCTGAAGCTAAAAACAAGTGAGGATTTTACAAAAAGAATGTACACATTTTTTGACAGCGACTGTTCGTTGAGAAAGTTCAGGTCACGCACAAAGGAGACTAGACACTACTTGGGCCAAAAATCTCCAAGTCCATCGCTTTTACTCTGACAACAGTCAGAAAGTGCATAGAAGCAAACATAGTATGCCAATAGATCTGATCTCTGAGGCGAAAAAAGCCCCTTAATCAATACAAGATTAGGATAAATGACTAACACTTATAAGATTCGTTGCAATACAAAACATAACGAGTGTTCTATACACAGTGGAACTTATTTCCTTAATCTATTTTGTCATGAAAAGTAGCCTACCATGAACACAACATTTAAATCTCATCTGAATTGAGTCGGTTAGAATAGAATCTCTAGGCCCTAATTTCAAAAAGAATTTATCTGAACCATGACACACTAGTTTCTAGACAAATGTACATATACTAAAAGAACTGGTTTACTTATATTGAACTGTGGTATAAACTCCAAATCTCCATCACCCAGCAAAAACCTTACCCCCATCACAACTTTATATAGAAAAAAGAAAACTTGTCATGAAGAACCCTAAAATACCCCTATAAGTATAAGTAAGTACACACAACAATCGCGGAACAGAAATTATTTTACCAAGACACTGGAGTCCTCGGTTTGAATGTCATTAGCAGAGGTACGATGAGCACTCATTTCTCTTAAACTTTCTCCCTCAGTCTGCTCACCCCATCTACCTACCCACCTACTGATCAACCACCCGTTAACTCATCACCCACCAACCCACCTTCTGATCCACCCACCACCAAACTACCGATCACCCATCTACTGATGCACCTAACTACCCATCAACTCACTACAAAAAATACCAATACCCACCTACCGATCAACCCAACACCAAACTACCCACCAAAACCCAGCACCAAACTACCCACCCCCCACCTACCCATTAACCCATCAGCTACTAACCAATCTACAGATCATCCCACAACCAAACTACCCTACCCTTTCAACCCATCACAAACCTATACACTGGGTTCCTGCCATGAACTCCCCACCAAATTCAAGGAGATTTCAAGAAGAAATTTTAAAAATTCAACGAGATTGGGTCAAGAAATTCATGCCGTTTTCGACAGCACATTCGCATCTCAAAAGCCTATTCCGATAGGCCTACACTTGTCTGAGAGGAATCATAGCGTCGATTGTCCAACAAAAATTTTGTTCATATCCGATTTGGTGAAATTCAAAGAGTTTTCAAGGAGGTTCCTCAAATTCAAGGAGTTTTCAAGGAACTCTGTACACACCAAATGATTACCATCCAACAACCCACCACCAAACTACCCATCACTCACCTATCCACCAAATGATTTTCCACCCACCTACCAATCAACCTAAGCAGCAGTTCAATATATCACAATAAATACGGTAATTGTGTTTATGTAGTGCATTTCCACACTCACCAGAAAGCTATATACTTTAAGTGCTTTACAACTATTTAGTTTGATACACTGAATTCCTAGAATAGGGAGGACACAGAATTCAGGCTGGACATTTATCAAATGTAGTTTTTGTTTAATTTCAATAAAGAGAAAACATAATCAGCACAAAAAAATGACTATATAGTGCAGGTAAAAAGTAAAACCAATAGACAAAACAAGATAGGGAGAGTAAAAAAGTAGAACCTACCAGTAGCACCCTCCAACACCTCCCTCCACCAAGTAAAAAACTAATTTAAAAAAATCAACATCTGAATTCAATATAATCTGGAACATGTGTGGGTCTTCTACTAATAGATGCTACACAAGACTAGATACTGAGACCACAACTTTTGGATTTCTCAAATGTCATTACGAGGAACTTTCCATAAAAAAATTAATCAAAAATGTATTTTAGATTTATTATCTAAAAGTATAAATACTAGCTAGGGAAGAATTATAGTGATATTCATTAAATGCTTTCTTATGATACATCCCTTTTACGCCTGACTTCTATTTTTTAGCTCAACAAACAATTGGCAAAAAAAGTGATAACAAAAGTGGGTAACTGAGATATAATAATCTCAGAGATACCAAAGGTCACAAATTGCAGGCCCGAAGACATCAAAAGTACTATCAGGCTTATCACATCACAAGTAGCACAGCAGACAAGGAGGATTCATACAGTACATACTTCTCTCTCCAGAACATGTTACACTATTTCACGATACAAACACAATGCCATACATACGGCACACACCTGAACATTTACTTCACACGATTGATCAATTCAAGCATTTCCTTCACACAGTTGATAAATTACATTCCTTCATATTCCTTCACATAATTTATCATTTACTTTACACAGTTTATTATTTACTGGCATATACTCTGAACAATTTATCATTTACTATACACAACTGACCATTTACTGTCATATACTCTCAACAGCTTATCATTTACTTTACACAATTTATCATTTACTGTCATATATTCCGAACAATTTATCATTTACTATACATGAGTGATCATTGGTGTCAGGACATGGTGGAAACAGGCGCTTGTCAATTTTGGGCATATTATTATTATCATTAATAAAATCCTAAACCCTGTTCATCTGCTTTGCTTTTGATGAAAAGATTACAAATCTGGTGTCAGAAAATGGACGTCCGAGTTTGGTGACTTCCAAAGTTTGAGAGCGCTTGGAAACTGAAAGTTTACAGTTTTTGTGCCATTGATCAACATTTTCAGTAAAACCCACACAAAAATAAGTTTTTAAATGGACATAAAAGATGTTGAGATAATTTTGAAAAATTCAATAAACATTTCCTATCAGGCGGGAAAAATGCTGTTTTTTTTTTCGATTTCATTATTTTGACCAGCACCTCATTTCACCACGATGACACACATTTACTACATTCATCACACAACTTATCATTTACTTCATTGGACTGGATCATTTAAGTAAGTCGCAGGGTTCTATATTCAGCACGGTGTTGGATCAGATCACCTGGCCAGGGCACGGAATGTTTCCAAGGCATGAATACTGCTGGACAACCTGCCAGGAAAAAAAAAGAAAGCAGAAAGGTATGATGAAATGATAAAGAAACAATTTTATATCTTCACAAAAACAAACCATAACAAATCACCACCACACACTGTGCTGTAAAAAGCAACAAAAACATGACAAAAAGCCTAACAAATCAAACATATTTTTTTTCCAGGCCACAAAAAACATTAAGGATGGTTGACATACTTTGTCACTAAAATATGAATCAATTGGGTGGGGGGGGGGGGCGCACTGGCTAGCAGTACAAGCACTCATAACTTAATTTTTGTGGAGTGAGAGGGGGAAAGGGGGAGAAGAAGGAAAAAAGCGTTCGGGTCTAGGACATTGTCTCTTATGAAAAGTATATAACTGTCAAAGTTGTGTACTCCCTTTGACAAAACTAGAGATTATAATTAGAAAGTGGACTGCTTCAACCCTCTCAATTGGGGCCAATCTTGGCCGAGTGAGGGATACTATATGATCAGAAAGATAAAGATACTCAATGGAACATATTCCCAACCAGAGGATTGAGCTCACTTCTTTTGCTCTGCCTTATCATTACATCAAAGATGCCAGGTTTTTATTGGCGACATCTCCACAAATCTGGAATAGCAGTTAGTCAAAAATGTCAGAGTATATGTTATTTCAGGTGTAATCCACACAATTAGGTCATTCTGTGATATGATAGCAGTTGATACAAAAATAAAGACCTGATGCATAGCAATCAATTTCTACAGGGCTATTATCATATGATAAGAAATAATCCACTCGCACGCTAAGAATACCCAAACAAAATAAGAGAAACAGACCACAGGGGAGCAGTCACCAACTGCCAGCCTCTTAAAAAAGTGATGAGAAACAACTCACTGCTACATGACACTCATTAGCATAATACGCCAACCAATACAATGCTGATCAGCATAAATAAGAACCAAAAAACCCCCATTCATTACCAGGAATCTCAAGAATCAAAGTGACACTCATTATAATACAAGAACACCCATGACACATATAAGCATTATATAGGAACCAACACACAATACAACACATAATACAGGAACCAACACACAACACATAAGCATTAAACAGGAACCACAGTACACATAAGTAGGTACCACAAACTGAAATTTCAAAGTCCTCTGATTTCATATTTAACTGCACTACTTTATAGAATTTATCATTCTGAGCATTTTGATACCAGATTTATACATATAGCTTCATTTTTAACAAAGTTATGAACATCTGAAGTTGCAGAAAAATGTTACAGTTTTTTAATTGCGAAATTTCTACACTTTGAGATGTCACAACATTCTTAAATTTGAATGGACATTCACAAAAACTTGTAGACACACACCTATGCACATAGAGAACAATCCCAATTTTTTTCAGGGCTATCAAATAACCAGAAGATGGAAATTTATTGACGTAAACATGGCTTTTTGACCAAAACGGCAAGAAACACAAGGGGAGGTTAAAATCACCACTCGCGACCGACGGCTTATCGGCTGCGCGCCGGGCCGCGTTGAAGGGAAGGAGAGAGAATTTATATGAAACCGGGGCCATGGTGCCCTGATTGCGAGCCGACGGGGAGCGTCCAGTATTTATTTGCGTATAATGGCTGTGTTATTCTTGAAGAGGAATGAATGGGCTTTCTGCCGATGTATTTCCGTAGTCAGTCCGATCACTGGTTCCATAAAAAAACAGCACCGTAAGTTTTCACATGCAAATCTCTTCTATTAATTCTTTAAGGACAGTCTTTAGAAATATATCACTGGAAAGAGCGTCTTCTCATCTTGAAATATCGACGAATCAGATTGCAGTATTTAATACCATACGCTCCCCGTTCCTGTTCAACCGAGGTCACTCTAAAAATCAATGCACGAAACGCGCGGCCGCTGCGGTGAAAACCTCGATAGTGTTGTCTTTTATCCCGCAAGATTTTGCTTTCAAAAGAATCGTTGATTCAAATAAATAAGACCACTAAAAAGAGGAAAAGCTCCTCTTTCTTCTGATATATCAAGTGTCTGTGTGTATGCATGATCACACAGTGTTTTAGGAAGGTAAAAATATGGGTTTCGGTCTCTGTGACAGTGCGCCACGGAGGCGCTCGGCCAGTTTGCGGTACCTACACATAAGCATTATACAGGCATCATCACACAACACATAAACATTACAAAACCAACACATAACACACCTAAGCATTTTACAGAAACCAACACACAAAACAGATAAGCATTATACAGAAACCAACACAACACATAAGAATTTTACAGGAACAAACACAAAACACATAACAATTTTACAGGAACCAACACACAACACATAAGAATTATACAGGAACCAACACACAACACACATATAAGCATTATACAGGAACCAACACGGCATTCATGAGCACAATGCAATGGCATCAGACTGACCTCCCAAACGCGTTGAACAACGCCACAATCTCTGTACGGGTCAGCTGGAAGTCTGACTTGAGGCTGGCATTGACCGTGGAGTCCCCCGCCATGCTGTCCCCGGAGAAGAGAACCTTCAGAGCTGTGCCCATTCCCAAAACCTGTTCAAACAGCTTTCATTTGAGTAAAACGAAGCACATAGACAAAATAACAAGTCTTTCTATGCAGGGAAAAGGCAAGTTTAGTTTAGTTTTAGTAGAGGGTTTTACGGCGCTCGCAACTGCATAAGGTCATATGAGCGCCAGAAGATTAGAGGTGTTACAAGAGAGTAACAAACATAAAAAAGAAGAAGGGGAGATGAGGACGATAGATGTTTGATAAGAAAGAAGAAGCAAACCACACCAGAGCACCCACCAACCACCCACGGAAAAGGCAAGACTCACAAAAAGATTATAGAGGTGAGAAAAAGATGTAGGTCATTCTGGTGGAGCCTTCAAAGCGCCCACCTGAATAAACACAGGGATGGGAACAAAACAGTACGGTACAACCTTAAAGACAGAAACTTAAAAAGAAATCAAAATCGTCTTCGAAGATGCATATTACAAAGATATTAATGATGCAGTCGGAAACAACTATATGCAGAAAACTATTTGCAGCTTTGTCAATTATGACTTTACTATCCTTCAATATTTTAAAAAACTTTTTCTCTTTTCAGTTTCAGACAAAATATGATAACTGATCAACCCATGCATAGCTTTGTTCTTCATTCTACATGTCAACAAACATAAAAGTTATACCCAAAACAAAGAGAAAAAAACCCTAGTGTGACTGAACTACACACCTGTAACTTTCCCCACAGCTTGCACTTGTCGCAGCCAACACAGTCCATGATCCGAGAGATATTGCGGAAATGATGGACAAACTCGCTCTGAATGAACGAAAGATGAGCCAGACATAACATTTTACATTAAACCAGATGTGCCTACTCCTTGTTGACCAAAAACAGGAAAATTCCTCTGAATTCTCTCTCAAAACAAGCTGAACTTGGGGATTACAGTTTACATTGAAGTAAATGATACATTATATGAAGTAACTGATAGTCATTTATCAGTAGTGTGAGAAATGCTAAAAATGACTGCTTGTGTGAAGTAGATGATCAGTTGTGTGTAAAGGATCAGGGTTTTTTTTTCAACAGAAACATCACTTAAAGTTGTTTTTTTTCCAAGAAAATTACTTTGACTTATGTTTGCTTAATGTACAGTCAAAATTTTAACTTTGTATACAAGGATTTTAAATATAACCAACTTTAAATTTGACAAGCATTTTTGCTTGTCAGATGTCCTATTTTTACACCACTCAGACAGTCAATTTGGATACTTATATTGCTTCACTCTCAACTGACTAACAGCAATTCCACTCTAAAAAATTTTTGATGTTGCTTTGAAGAATGTTCATTCCAAGTTTGAATGCATTCAGACAAAAGAAATGCTAATTCTAAGGCAAGATACAAATACCCAATATGCACACTATTTCTTTCTGTTTATGAAAAAATTGAAAATCATATTATACCTGCTTGTCTATCTACACCATTGTATGAATTAAGCTAAAAAAGAAGCTCAAAAGATTTTAATCATTGCAAAAAATAAGATTTAGAGAGCACCACTTACCTTGAGCTGTAGCATTTCCTGAGAGTTGACCTTGAACAGCTGGCTTTCATCAAAATGATCAGGAAAGTTTCTGGAAAGGAAAAAAAACCCAACAAAATTTGAAGGGAACTGCCATTCCATACAACTGGTGTCACAGGATACAGACAAAAACATAACTTTAACAATTTCCTATTCTAAAAAATTTCTTTTCAATCAAACGTGTGTATAAAACAAGATGAGGCAGAAATGACACATCCAAATATGTGTATTTGTTTTTTTGTTTCAGTAGAGGCTTTACGGCGCTCGCAACTGCATAAGGTCATATGAACGCCAGAAGATTAGAGGTGTTACAAGAGAGTAACAAACATAATAAGAAGAAGGGGAAATAAGGACGATAGATGTTTGATAGCAAAGAAGAAGCAAACCACACCAGAGCACCTGCCAACCACCCACTGTGTATTTGTGCTCCCCCAAGTGAACCACAAGTTAGTGTTCTTTGTGACTGGGTGTACAGATCTTTGAGAGAGAGAGGAAATGGAAGAGGGAGAAGGAGAGCCAGAGACAGCCATACGTATTTGTGCATTTTGGCCAATAATAAATCAGTGTACAAGTAGTAGTTTTGTTGTAAAGTGTAAAAAGATTTCTCTCAAATAAAAAGTGGTAGGCCTACATGAACACGGTGCCTTTCCAACTTTAACAACAAAAGTCTTACTTGACAATTGCCAAAAAGTCCTTCACGCCTTCCTTTAAATCTGCATCTTCCTGAGCATCACCAGTGTAGAAAACTTCCTGATTTGAGAGAAAAACAAAAAATGTTGAAATTTACATTGCTGAAGACTATTATTGAGTGATAACAGCATTGCATCTTTTGCCTTGTTATAAAATAAAACAAGAAACTGCAGACATAACATACACAGGTATCTGAGTTGTAATGGTTAGACTCTTCGCCCTTGTACCCAGAAAATATGAATGCAATTCCTATGTGGGGAAAGTTTTTTTTTCTTTTAAATCGAGTATCTCTGCTTGTTTACTGAGGTGCTGTATCCCACTCAACTTAGGTTGGCCATGAGAAGCTGGATTAAAGATCTACAATAGTCATATACTGCTAACTGTCACCTTTAGCTGCACCTTTATTATTATAAATGTAAGAGGGAAAAACATGTTTTTAAATCTCAAGTATGCATGCTCTTTAATAGCAGACCCCATCACCAAACGTCATGACCCCCAATAGGGGTCATAATCACACTGCAGGAATACCCCCAATAGGGGTCATAATCACACTGCAGGAATATCTGTTCAAATGGACTAAATGCACAACCTGATGTGATAATTGTGGTATCAAATACTTGTGCATTCAAGATCACCACAAAAAAAAAAAAAAAAAAGGTGTTAAGTATTTTACCTCTTCCAAATATGGCACAGCCTTTGATAGGGCCCGTAACTCTACTAAGTAAGTGAAGTACAGGTTTTTCAGCCTCTGTGGGCCATGGTCATCTGTCTTCTCTGGGTCAAATCGACGCTGGAATTCCTTGAGGTTGTGACCCCAAGTACCTGGGCCAAAACCATTCTTCGCTGAAGGGGAACAAACATGAGACAGTTAATAGCATTCAGATGGAAAATAAACAACAGCAAAGTATGGTTTTAACAATATTTTCAAAATTAAAGTAATTTAAGAGGCAAGACCTCCAAACTTCCATCCCTTAAATGACCAAGTCAAGTAGGTGGTGAGCCTAAAAAAATTCTCCACCAATGTAAATGTAGCCAAATTCAATAATGCCATTCACTAGGATTCAAACAAGTTATTCGCATTGAAACCCAGCAGTATGCAAAAAAGGAACTAACTACACATTGACGTAGTAATTACTTACAAACTCCACTCAAATGTGAGGTGGTGACATGTTCAAAATATCCATATAAATATTTGTGAGTACATCCTCAGAGAATGTGACTAGTAATTTGAAAAATACTAAGGTTTTATATGCACAGACACATATGAGTAAAAATAAATCATAAAAAACTTATTGCCTTTTTAAAACAGAAACATGCTTTGACCGCCTCAATTTACGTCTCCTTATATCACATATAACAATATATTAACACATAGAGAAGAGATCTCCCACACACACAAACACACACCACAAAAATATTTACACACATCACAAAAAAATTTCTCACAAACAACATAAAACAATAAATATTCACAAGCAATACACCATTAAAATATTCACATACATATACACATATAAACAAAAAGAAATATTTACACATACACAGACATAAAGAAAACACAAATACAACAGAAAAAAACATTCACACAAACATACACTCAAGCAGACATACACAAATGAAAAACTTATAGAAAGTATCCACACCCACATACACACACACAACTCATACAGCACTGACCTGGGAAAAGGTACTGGTCACACAGATGGATGTTGATGCTGGTGTGGAGGCCTGAGATGAGCCGATAGAACACCCGTTTCTCCAAACACATTGCTACAGAGGGAAACAGGAGAGAAGAAAAAGAAACGGTTCATTTTAAAAAAAGTACTTTACCAAGAAAATACATTTTTAAAATATTTATCTGTGAAAATAAAGTCCTATAGACACCCACAAATCCATTGCTTTGTTTTTTAAAAAAGAAAAACAGCTCTTAAACAACTGTCGATGACATTCATATATATATATATATGAATGAAGCTGAAACACAATCATTCTGGCAACACAAAAACCAACAGAAAAAATTACAAGAAGTGATATAAGTAAAGATGAAAATTTTCAATACGAGACTGACATACAACCTCAGACAGCCTTTTGTGAGACAAGGACTTGGCACTAAGGGAAAACACACTGAGTGGTTAGAGGGTGCAACTAGAAGGCCCCACTGATTTTCTTTTTCCTCAAATGATTCTGTTTATCTTTCTTGCTTTTCCCTTGCACTGCACAGTTGTTTTTGAGTGGAGGAGCTTTTCTTAATTCAAATTAAACACCAACAACTAAGCTGGACTTGGAAAAGGAAAATCACAAACAAAGCTGCAAGTTGGATGTGATGAAGTATCATTCTAAACCTAACCACAACAAGAAAGCAGAACATACTGGGCTTTCTCAGCTCTAAGACAAAAAGGAAGATATTAGCGTGTTTACGCAGACTTTTGGTCTGTAAGTGTTTGTCAGGTAGAGAGGAAAGAGTCACAAAGATAAAAGAGTTCACAGATATAACTGGTCCGCGTCATCACAGCTATAATGTAAGAATAACAAGAAGATTTGCAGAGCGCCTTTTGTTGTAAACTTGTACTTCAAGGAAAGTGACCAAGACAAGTTTGGTTTGTTTGACCAAAGAGAAAACTCAGATACATTTATGGTCATTCAGTGCATGGAAAATTAAAAGCAACACAGATAGGAACAACAGAGGGAAACAAAAAATAATAAGACCTACTAGTGCCGCTCTCCTACTACCCACTCTGACAACTCATATCGCATCAAGAAGAATTTATGAGGACAACAGATAGGATAGCACAAGCACACCCAAAAACCGTCAACACACTTATTGAGTGACAACAGAACTAAGAACAACAGGGTGGGGGAGGCTCTCATATGCATATTCACTGGCAGTAAAGTACCCACAATTTGGAATTATTGTTGTTCCTGATCAATACAATGTAGATAGTTTAGGAGATAAGCTCCTTCGACCTAGCCTATCATAGCCAACCTGGACTGAGTGGGATACACCATCCCAGAAGACGAAGATACTCAATGAATAATGCCCAGATAATCAAACTCCCATCATCTGCATGCAACAGTGAAAACCTAACCTGGGATACCCCTCGGATTTTGTGAAAATAACTTGAAATTTAGAAACTTGCATTGGCAAACCAAAAGACAGTTAATAGACACATCTAATATGGGGTTAAACAGAAAACAAATGCTTAGGATAACAACTGTTCAAATGAAAATAACGGAAATAACCACCAAAAACAATAAACTGCAAAAAACCCCTGGAAAAATGGCATTCAGGCCTAACTGTAACACCATAGTCGCTGTTCACATAGTGTGAGAGGATAAAAGTGACACTGAAAAACTAAAAACATATTTATTCAGTTCAACTAAAAACGAGATGCTATTGTCTTTGCCAAACAGAGCCACAAAAGACTTCCTACTCCGACAAAAGACTACATACTCCGACAAAAGACAAACTCCCAGCTGTACAGAATTATGAATAATGTCTTACCAGTGATACCCTGCACATGTTACCAGCGCGTCCTTGCATACTCTATGAGTGTGAAAGCATATAATGATCAAAGCTACATTTCCTCCCCCCGAGCACTCCCAAAACTAGGACCAGTTACTTGCCGAACTTGGGTAATTTTAATTCAAAAGCAAATTACTGAACCCATGTTTGCATCTTGTTCATTCCCAGCAAAAACCAAACCCATCACCAAAGACAAGACTACATGCAAACGTTAGTTCCTTCTTTCAATAAAATGACTCCTTTTCCAAATTGGTGTCCAGTTTTAAAAGTGGACAAAATACCCCTCAATTTAAAAAACAAAACAAAATGATCTTGTACGAAAAATGAAAAATACAATAAAAACGTTTTAAAATGCCAAATGAAACCAGACCTCAAAACCATTAATGTGCAAAATGATGCACTCCCAGACATTTTAAAATCTTGTTTTACCCTGACCATCAAATCCAAACTAGCAACTTTCAACAGTCAGACCTTTGCTTTATAAAACCAGTGCCTAGTGTATGGTACAAATGAGTATAATTGATATATTGGTAAAACTTGTCTTGGAAAACTGTCATTTAAAGCAACATATGATAAAATCTAGAGATAAAAGCACAGCCAATCCATTATCCCAGGACCTCTTTAGCTTGAGCCATGAGAAGAAAAAAAACATTGAAATTTTCACTGCTGGGATATTTAGCTGTAGGTTGATTGTGTGTATCAAGCAGGAACCCAGCAAGAGAAGCACTTGATTATTATATTTCAAGTTGTCTAACCGAATCGTCTTCTTCTGAAATGGCTTAACATAACAATGTTAACAATGAACTACATCACCAGAATCACCATAGGTTGAAGTATTTATTACAGAATGGCAGCACCCAGACAAGTTTCTCAAGAATATCACATTCTGCGACTTAGTGGGAATAGTAAAAGTACAATAAAATGTTTCATAAAATTGGTGCCTATATCCACTTACACTGAACATCTGAAAAAAAAAGCAGAGGGTTAAAGATGGGTTTAAATTTTAAGGAAAAATAAAATTTGTTAGGTAGGCCTATCTCAAAGAGAAGGACAGAAAACATATACCGAGTGAAAAATATAGAATCTATCGATACTGATGATAACATGAAGCAATGGCAAAGGTAGATAGTTTCGTCAGATCAACAGACAAAATAAGTCGATTCCACAAGACATTACATCAAACTTCAGTATTGGAACAAACACTGAAAATTAAGGAAACAGATAAGCTGGAGTTCATTCTATGAATACTAATCAATTCCTGGCAAACAAAAAATATAGACAAGGCTATAAAACAAGATTTTTTCCATACAAATGTACAGAGGAGCTGAATAAACACGAGCCAAAAAGAAAAATAGTTTACAGGTCAAACTTTACATTGAAAATCTTAGATCATTCTGAGATAGAAACATGACAGCATTTTGCAACAAGCAATAGGAATCAAAGAACTAATACTATGCAACACATTACGTCAACCAATAATCCAAGCACATTACAAACAGCATGGCGAATGACCAATGCATAAGACAGATGAAGTGAAAGGAAACCATGCTCATTTAAGCTCTTTTTACAATTTCAATAGGAAGAAACGATCTGAAAATGAAAACTTTCAAAAGACAACCAACTTTACATAACACTTAAAAAAGACATACATATCTTGGGCAGCCATATGCAAACCTCTGCTTGACAAATAAAAACCCATCAACTCATATCAATTCCCATTATCAATAACAACAACCTCAAGAACAGCAGCCCCCCCAGAAAGGAGCTCTTGTGGTCTAAGAGGTATGGTGTTCACCTCTCAGTCAAAAGATCCCTGGATTGAAACCTACCAACAACTAAAAAGTTTTCTTCTCAACAATTTCCTATTTTGTCCTTCTTTCCTGTTCTCTAGTCCCTTGTTGTCATCTGCTTTCCACTCCACTCTCTCACCCCTTCCCCCACCCGGCTCTCTGCTCCTCTCTCCCTGACTCATGACTCTTTCTACTGCTACTCCTAGCACGTTCTTAGAGCTGTCTTTCAGCCACACCTCTGATCTTAGGATACGTAAGATTGAATACCTAGCCTTCTCAGATAAGGGCAAAAAATCTCAGAGGTTCCATGTGCAGGCTGCACATATTCAAGATCCCTTGGTGGTCCTAAAATTGATAAAAATAGGCTTTAGCCACCACCTGGTAAAAATTCAAAAAAATAATTCCTCATAAAACTGAAAATACTCTCGTCAGTATTACAAAAAAAAAAAGCACTTTTGAAATCAGAATGTGGCAGCCTTAAAGTTGAAGACAAGGGACCCTCTGAATTAACCCTATCCGTACACCCTGGAGTCATTTTGTACCCCCGGGGTTGTATTCTTCACATTTTAGAAAACTTCTAGAGCGAAGATCTCTTTCAAACTTTCAGTATTTCTCAAAATATCATTTTGACAGACTGCTATGCAAAGCGTACGGATCAGATTAATGAGTAAATTTCCTCTTTAGAAAGTGGTGGCACAGAGTTCCCCACCTCATAAGGATGATACGATAGTAAAACAAGACGTACGGATAGGGTTAAGAAAACTGGTCACATGTGAAGTAAAAATCAGTTGCACTGCAGGTTGAAGAAACAGCAGGGGATTGCAAAGTAGGAGCAGTCCCTGTACCCGTCTCATCACCAAAGTGCATAGAACAAAGCAGAGAGATAGAGAAATTTGACACATGACTGCCATTGTACCAGCTGGACAAAGTAAAAAAACAACAAAAGAAACAAAATCAAACTGCGAGGAAGAGTCTTGACAAATATAGCAAAGCAACTTGATTTAGTTACAGGGAGTAAGTACATAAAGCAAATAAAGAAAATGAAAAGAAACTCACATGAATGACAGAAATACAGGCAATAATATGACAGAACAAGCAGTTTTTACAGTTCCTGCTATTAACAATGATTTCTTAGCCATAGACAGAGTCCAAGGATTCCTCTGAAAAGCGATGTAAAATTACCTTCCAAGAAGGCAGCTGTAAAATATGGTACAAATAAAAATAAATGGGTGTTTATGAAGAAAGATTTGAAGTTGAATTGTGCATGGTGATTATATGGTGTCCTTGTGTTTCTGTTGTTTGTAAAGAGAATGCGATATAAAATGGGGATGGATATTATAAGTAATCAAAGAGGAAAGTTTAGATTCTTAAAATCTTGCACTTTGAAAATCCTTGAAAGTGATGTATAAAAAGGCCTAACACCATCTTGACATAAAAAACCTCAAGCAGTCATTATAGAAAAGGCATGGAGCAAATCATGAAAATTTAAAGAGAGGACCTACTACCTTCTTTCCATCACAAATATATCATCAATTCCATTCTGTTGTCTTACATAGGACGATTGTTTAACTTAGAATTGGCATACAGACTCAGACTCGCAATAGAACTATAAGATTAGAATACTGGTTAAACAAACAGTTAGCAGCAGGTTAGTGATAAACAGGTAATGCAGGCATGACACACAAATTCAGAGATTTTACAGCGTCTGTGAATTAATAAAAGCAGATGTAAGTGAGCAGATAGATGGCACACTCTCTGCATCAAATCAAGGATCAGCAGATTTCTCAAAATGGTACATAAAATTTTCAACTACTGAGAAATGTGAAAGGCAATAAATGTAAAGTGTCGTGTCACAATGCATAACATCATGGAAGAAAAGGTACTCTACAGTGGGTTACTACAGATCCTTGGAACTTATTAACAATACCAGAGTAATGGTGGAGCCTGCCTAGAATGAAATGACTTTTACTTACCACTGGAAGACGTGGCACTGTCATAATTATCTGGAAATGAAAATGACAAAAATCCCTCTTCTCAATACAATGATATCGGGCTTATCTCACTCATGCTATTCTTATACAGTAGCAGTCCTCTTTCACTTCAGGCAAATAAAAAGGTGTTGACTATGTGAAGCTAAAGGGGAAGTGGTTTGAAGTTTCTTGAGGGTGTTGGGTCACTAAATAAGATGGGGAGGGGGGAGGGTAGAGATTGATTGAACAAGGGTAAAAGAATTATAATAAAAAGAACACAAACCTGCTTCAGTGATAGGTTCAGGGCCATAGCCAACACTTTTCTCTGGCCTGTGGAAAATAAATATCAAATGGTGACATTTCTTTCTCATATTGACCTTACAGATAATATTTAATGAAAATTTCTCCCTCAATAACCTCACAAAACAAAAACTGTAAAAATCAATCGCCTGTTAGGATAGTTGGTTTATGTTTAACAATGTACTAATCACACTTGTCTATGAACATATTTACTGGCTTCACTGGCACTTATTAACCTTTCACTGGCCAGCACTCACTTTTGTCATTTTTAAAAGACTACTATTTTCATAACGCTCACCAACATGTATTTCTGAGTGGGGTATTTAATAACACCTGTCACTTCCCACGTGATTCCCACTGCTCACCAAAATTACCAGATCACCCACTAGTGGCCAATACAGCCCAGGTTGGCAAGCACTGGACTAGAACTTTATATCATAAAATGAAATTTTAAAAAATAAAAAATGTTAACGCTTCAGCAAAAGGTAACCAAAGCTAGCTTGATGAGACAAACCAAGCTGTGTGTTCATCATCAGCAGTCATGTTGGTAATTCATGTCCCATCTTCATGTGAAACTACCAGATGGGGGAAATGACTGTCCACAGTCTAGCGTGTGGTTGGGAATCAGATGGATAATCCAGATACAAAAATGGACATACTTCAGTTTGACCAAGTCATATAAGATGTTGAATGCACTTGTAAAATAGTATCCAGATTTTTTTCTCTGTGGATTTTTAAATGCTGTGTACAGAGACCCTTTGTCTGTGCTTTGTACAGCATGTTTTTAGTTGCCAGAGTTTTGCACTGTCTGCATCAACCGTTGCCATTTTGAGTTGTCTGCCCGGAAGGGAATTACCAAAAAGAGCAATGACTACAGGCGGAAAAACAGGTAATGTATATGATAATGCAGATGAGATGAAGAAAAAAAAGAGGAGGAAAACGAGGGTGACAATGATGACAAGTAAAGAAGAAAAGAGGAGGAAAGAAAACAGGAGAAGAAAACAAAGGAGATGGAGGAGAAGGAGGAGGGGGAGAACAAAAATTTAAGGAGGAGGAAGAGGATGAGGAGATTAAAAAAAAGAAGAAATCAAAATATTAAAAAGTGTGAATGTGCAGAAGAGTATCTCACTTGAAGCAGTTCTCCTCATAGATAGACCTCCAAATGCGTCGAGGGGAGAGACCCTTGTAGCCTGTATACCTCTCTGGATTCAACAACAGGTCTACATACTCTAGGTCATTTGAGTGCTCATCTGTACAGACGAAGTTTCTGGTATTAAACAAGTGAATGAAACTTCGATTTAAATACTCTCATCACTCTTCTTTTTCTTACCTCTGTTTCTTTCATAATTTGACAATACAGTTCAAATAGTCTAAAAATTAAGCATACACTGGAAAAGTTATGATGATAAAAACCGTCTGGTTCAGGTCCAGGGTCTCGAATGTTTTTCAACCCTTTTTCTGTAAGTATCATTTGTAAGTTTTACGGCTTCATCCCATAAAAGAATACCTAAGAGGCTACATTCACATAAAACACATTGCTGTTCAGAGCTGGTAGCACTTGTCAACAGCTGGTCAGTGGTAGCCACGACTCACGGCTTGACCACCTCTGATGCCGGTGGGGAGTACTTATATCTGTCAGTAGGACTATGTCAAGGAAAATTGCTGATGTATCAACAAAACGCTAAATGGAGAAGTGAAAGGAAAATACAGTAGATCTGAGTAGGGAAAACTATTAGGTATGAAATCATTTCAGCAGCATCTGGGCACAGCTTGAGCTGAGTGATGGATTTGAATTGTTAAAGACACAAACAGCTTTTTAGAATTTGAATAAAGAAAGACATATTAACATGGTAATGGCCATTTAGTGCTGAAAAAAGGAAGACTGAGACAACAACAACAGAAGGAAACTAAAGAAGTAGGACCTATCAGTGATGCCTTTCCAACAACCTCAAAATCAACTGCAAGAAACAGTTTGAGAAGGTGCAGGGGGCAAACAAGGGAGAAGAGAGTCAATGATTTGAATTTACACTCTCATTGATGCAATCCAGATCATTTTGGAGATTTCATCCCAGCCTCACAGGGCCAACTCAGGCTGAGTGGGATACAGCATCCCAGCAGACAGACAGGACTACTAAAAAAAATTTAAAAATAACATCCTCAAACGAGAATCAAACCGTCTTCTGTATGCAATGTTGAAGAGCCTGACCATTACATTACTGATGCAGGAAGATGAAGGTCACTTACCATCCACTTCACAGAACATAGGGAGAGACTCGTCATGCTCCCTCCAGCTCTGAAATTCTGCTTTCTTCTCATCACTGTCAAAAGAGGAAATAGAGAAAAAACATTGATTGATAAGTACAAATTATTTATTATTTACTGTTTTAGTTTCACATGCTCTTTATTAGTCTAGTTGAGAAAAGAAAAGAACATCCGCACAATAAGGGTTAAAAAATGCTCAAAAAAGCAAAACAGACAACCCAAAAGAAAAGAAATAGTACCTTCTCGTGGTCCCCTCCAACCACCCACACATGCCTTATGATAAATTCAAGAATTCCTTCTATCAATAGAATAGAGGGATGTTAGTGGTACATCTTGTATAATAACCAATCTTTCTGTACTACCACATATGTTCTTTTGAGATCTACTTTGGCCCAAAGAGTTTATCCTGGCTCCTTACTGTAGCAACTTTCTGTTTAGATCGGGTAAAATGAACCTCATCAACACAATAACAGTAACCTTATGCAGAGAAAAAGCAAGACTGACAGATATCAACAACACAGGGAAAAACAGAAGCAATACCTACCAATGGCACACTCCAACCACCTGCGATAATTCCATGGACAAGACACAGCTCGGTCACTGACCCCCAGCACGAGCTGTAACTCACACCTGGCTTGTGTAAAGACACTGCCAAGAACGCCCTTGTATAAAACTTGTTTGTTACACTCACCTAATTGTTGTGTCCAAGGCACTGAGCTGTCTCTCTTCTGTGCAGTCGCCACCCCCCTGCTCTCCCTTATTGCTCTCCATTGTGTACTGAGAAAAAGGAACATTTGAAAAACTGGCTGATAAAACTAATCAGACCAACTGTCTTACATAAGCTGAGGATTCACAGCATTACAAAAGCAATCTTATGTTCGATAAATGTAACTGTATAGGTCTACCGCCCTTTTCAACACTTTGTACGGGGCAGGGATTTAAAGTTAAGATCCATCTCCAATAAGACCCAGCCAAGTCGGTGGAGAGCCTTAACAACTTCCCGAACAACCCAAGCACAAGAGCACCTTGTTGGCCGCATGATACCAACTGAACAATCCTCAGTGTCTGGTCTCAGAGGGAGAAAGATACCACTAGTGTCAGAGTGTACAGTGTGTGGAACAGCTGATGAGCCACTGTTTCATAACTGTTATCACAAAGTGGGTGAAACAGAGGATGCAAGTCAAATAATTGATCAGAGGATGCAAATTAAATAATAAAAATGAAGCTCATTTATGCACTGTGTTTTTGCTAAAATGGCTTACAGGACCCCCCTCTCTCTCTCTCTCTTTCTCACACACACACGCAATTGCTTCATTTAGTTTGCATACATCTATTTTCTGTGAAGAACCTGGTTGAACGACAAATGCAATGGTCTATTTCATATATTATATTGTAAAGTATATGTAGCCCTTTTTCGAGAGGGAATATAATACTTTCTACAAAAGCCATCCAAAATAACAATTATTACTAAAATAGTTGTCATAAAGGCCCCTTGTCCTGTTCCGACAATAGACTGTAAAGCCTATTCAGCAATCTCTTAAGAAGGGATATACTTTACAAATACACAATCCAATGTCATCACTATTATCACAAAAAAGAAAAGTTGAAAAAATTCAGTCATATACAGGTATTTCAAAGAAATGAAGCAGTTATATTATTACTAACAACCCAGAGCTCTTCACATAAACAACAAGTGGAAAGTACCAGTAATAAAGCAGGTAACAGGTGCAAGGCAAGGTGTTTCCTAATCAATATTCATATACTTCCCTTATATTGACACCTGATTGATCTTGTTCCCGAGGTGTATTTTACTACTTTATTTTGTTGGCTACAGGTGGTAGCTTCACAGACAGCACAGGGAAAAGTTAAGAGATATCAATTTTAGTAGAGACATCCAATCCTTACAGGCGAAGAGTATCACAATATCATCTGATTTTTCCAGTCTATTATTGTTTTAATACCCTTCGTTAATGGATTATTTTACAGCTAGAAGACTCGACGCCAGGGTAAAGAGAAAAGAAGGAAGAACAAACAAAAGAAGACAATTGAAGGGGTTGCCCCTCCTTCTGGTGGGCAGTGCATCTATTAATAACCTTTTAATAATCAACTCAGGGAAAGTAACAACTTGTCTAGAGTGGGGTGAAAAGAAAAATGATAATTGCGCTTCTTAGCTGCAGCCATCCATGATTGAAAATGTTTTTTCTTAGGTCCCAAAACAACACACTTTAGATCAAACTGAAGAAGTGTGCTGCTTTTACCCTGCCTGTCAGGTCTAAATGGGATATTATATTTTGTCAAAAAGATGAAGGATACTTGATAAAATAACTCCTCCTCAAGGAGCTTTAGAACGAACCAGCCAGCACTGAGCTTATCTTTATGTCCCTTACAAATCATTAATAACAGCCTCTCCTCCTCCAAAATAAATAATGATAGGCCTCTAAAATTATGTAAGGAAGCCTAAAAAGAAATCAAGATTTATGAAACGTTAAGTCATCAGTAGAGGAAAACCTCTGCATTGTAAATATAGCCCTTCAGCACTCAGAGCTTTGGTGAGAGACTCGAGAAAATGTAAAGAGGGAACATCTGGCATTAAGAGAGTGACACTTTCTGGGATATAAATTCTACCTGGTTTATTATCATCTCATCTAGATAACATAGGGAATGTTGACTGAATACTGAAGCAGACATAATTTCTGTCAAATTGCTTTTGTTTTGCCATGTTTATGTTAACACAGATGCACATTAACTCTTATCAGCTAGAATGACATGTTCCGGGTCATACCAGTTTACCCTGTTCCACCAAAACACCAAAAACGTGTCATTCTCACCTCCCATAATAAAACACACATTTCCATCCAGTCCTTCAAATCCATCTTTATAATGTTGGTCAAGTTAATAATAGGCATGACGATATTTCCTTTCCGTGTGACAATCTGAAGCTCGAAGGTGTACTTTTCAAGTGGCAGCACATTGTATCACCCAAACTTTTGGGAACTAGAGTCCAGTCAAGATCACTAACTAAATCCTTCTACACATCTGCTTTTTCTGTATCCAATCTCACTATCCTGATAGTACCCTCTTCCCCTATGTTGCATATGGTCCACTTTTTGGCATGCTGAACGAGACAGATCTAAATCCCAAACTGTCAGTGATGAAAAAACTTATGCAAATTCTTAATGAAAGTACAGATTTAATTAAATTAATACTGGCTGATAAGAGTTAACATGACAATCAGCATTTAATGTTGGGGGAAGAAAAAGAAAGCACATAGATATATCAGTGGGACTGTACAGAGAAAGAATCTACTTAAGACAGCCTCAAACTAAAAGACATTTCAGATATTGTTCAGATCATTAAATGTTCACATTCTCTTAAGGACAATAATAAAATTCCCCATCTTTCTTCTCCCTTGGAAATTCCCCACTTATTTAATAGAAGGCAATCAACAAATATAAAATAGTTATTGCATAGACTCATTCCTGTTTTCCCAAATATTCAGCAAAGCTTAAAAATCTGGGAACAAAAGGGTATAAATCCTCTAGCCGCAGAATCAGTAATGATGATCTATATCAGAAATATATAGGCTTCAAAGACAACTCTGATAGATGTGTCCAAAGTGACTATGACCTACTTACCTTATTCTTCTCATGCTGGTTGTTGCTCTCATTGTCTGGTTGTTTCTCTGTCTTGATTGGAACCTCATCCTAAGTGAATATAAACACAAACATAAATGACTTTTAATTTTATTTCTTTATAAACAACGACCTGCTTTTGTTGTTTTACAATGGCAAAATTGAAAGACAGAAAGGTAAAAATTTTTCTCTAGAAACAGTTACTGCCTTTGTTGGATATCTTGAAAGTAGATAATTGATAATTATCAATTCGAAATCTTAAAGGGTTTCCTCAGGTCAGTTAGATAAAATTGACATTTCCCTCTTGTCTGAAGAAGCTAGTATGGTTGTTGGTTTCATTTTTTTGGGGTTTTAGTAAGGATTTACGGCGCTTGCAGCTGCATAAGGTCATATGAGCGTCAAGGGGTGAATGTCAACAGAGAAGTCTAAAAGGGGAATCAGGCGTACTCTGTTCAACCTCTTTAGCCTCAACAGCACAAAGTCTGCTTCAACTATCAAGGCACCGCCGAAAGCAGTTCACAAGAGAGTGACAAACATACAAAAGAAGTAGAGGAAAATGACGATAGTAAGGATGAGGAAAGAAAAAGCAGCAGTTCGCCATATGTTGTTCAGGCACAGTATTAGTATGAGCATGACATTGATCAATCAGCCCATTTACAATTCTACAGTGAATAGGAACATGGAAATATCCCCCCTTTTGGGAATAGCCTATAAAGACACTTCAGTCAGTAGCACTGCACTGGGGGGGGGGGGGGGGGGTAGGTTGTAAAGAGACAACAATGCATGTGACATTTGAAATAAGTTCCTATTTATAAGTAAAACATTAAAGAATAGACAGGTAAATCAATAACAGCTTTTTGAAGCTATGCAAAGAGAAACAATCACCAGAACTGGAGACCTTTAGTCATTTGGAAGCGGGAAGCAGCAATTGTCAAAATCTTGCTGTAGATGGGAAAGAGAAACTATGCCAGACAATGATCCCTTTACCATTTCCTCACAACACAATCAGAAAAAAGGCTACAGTTATGAAGAAGAAGCCACAACATCTTTTCACGCTAAACCAGTAGTGTTCCTTACTTTTTGACAGATATCCACATGACAGTCTTTCAGAGCACATCTGCTATCATCAGACCAGAAGGGACACTGCTTCTTTAAATTAACCTGTGAAAATATTACCACAATTAGTATGGAATTAGAAGAGCACTTTTACTTCTTATAGAAAAAACGCAACATTATGAGCAACAGTACAAAGTATTACAAGCAAAGATGATAGAAAACACTTAACACATTTACATTAAAACCCCCCCCCCCCCACCTAATATACTCAGCACGAGTACACACAATCTATACATCACTGTACATACTACTAACAAACATTATCAAGCTTCAAATTGACAATAACGAAAAAACCCACAAAGACTTAACAGAACACTTTAACAGCTAAAGTTAGCCCTGTGGCCATAAATTCCAAATATAGGCAAATCATTGAAGGTCAGTGACATATGAGGTCATCTATAACTGATCTAATGCTATAAAAGTACTGCAACTGTGTCAACTTGCAAAGCAAATATTAAATTGAAAGTAAAATATTCATATGAAAAAATAGCACTCATATAATATCATTATAGAGAAAATAGCTTAAAAGGCAAAAATAATTTTATAGGAAAAGCCAAAAGTTTAAACAAAAGAAAAAGAAAAGCAAACTGTTCTACATTGTCTTTACCTTGAAGTATCTAAAATAATTGCGGGCTAGTAAACTTTTCAAGCGCGGGTAGATCTGATTATTGTTCAGGGAGTCCAAAGTTTCCACTTTGCAAGAACAGTCATCCACTTCTCCGCTCAACTGCAAAAAGATATTTCAAATCATTTTAATGATAACACAAAATTTTAATACAATAAAAAATGTTATTCTGACACAAAATATCAGTAAAACAAGAAAAAGAGTGATCAGCAGCTGCATACTAAATGAATCATATCTTTGAACTAGCTGGGCCCCCTTTTGATGAAAGGAATGATCGGTGTATTAACATGAAACTGAAAGTCATGGGCCAACTATATTTACACTCTACTGGAATGGAGCAATAAATTTTGAGAGAAAAGTGACACACGTGTTTCCAAGTCGCCAAATATATAATAGATGTGTAGATTGACTTTCTATTCCGTTTTCGTAGTTGTACACTCCAGAATTTCAAAGGTGTGGAAACAGTGCGCACGGCTAGTGAACGGAAACCTCACTTGTTTACAATGATACAATGGCGTCTTAGAAGACGGACTTTCCCAAGATTCGAACTCTGTGTGGACCAAACAAAGCGTTTTGGAAAAATCAGGGAAAGCAGTTTGCATGGATTTTTTAAAGTTAGGTCCTAGCCACATGGATGCTGTGGACACCTGCAAAGTTTCAAAGGTGTGGGTTGGGTAATAAGGGAGGAGTTTGAGCACAAAAAGCCTCAGAAGTCCACTTTTATATATAATATATATATAAAGATTAATTTGTTACTTCGAATTCAGCTTACCATTTAAGCAGTATTTTTGGATCCGTGTTTCACCGGCACGCCACTTAAGTGGCATTTTTGGGGTACAGATTTAGTCCACCCCAAGATATACACCTGATCCTCTTGTGCTACCTTTGATTATTATGCTACCTATTTTCACCCAGATTGTGATCATTTGTCCAAACAAATAGTTTGAGTGCTCACACAAATAAATCCATCAATATTTGACTGAATGAAAAAACCTGTTTTAAAGTAACATCTTTTACCCCTGGGTGCATAAAATTGTGGAATCTGATGTGTAGACCTACTGAAAGAGTAAAGACAAGAAACTATGATCAAACTAAAGTTCGTCTAGCCATCTTCATTGTTAACCAGATCAGCTGGCATTTTTTAAAATTACATAATGCTAAGGAAAGATGCAATGCACAAAATAAAGAGGGGGAAAACCAGGATTTGAAATCATTTACTGAAAACAGGAATTTTGTATAAAATAGCTTGTGTTTTTTTTTGGTAAGAGTTTTACGGCGCACACAACTGCATAAGGTTATATGAGCGCGCGGGACACACCTAATATTTTCAGTTGGTAGGAAATTTTGAATTTTGCCCGGGTGGCGGCCGAAGCCTACTCTTATAGATTTTAGACCACCAAGGGATCTTAAACGAGCGCAACTTGCACACGGGCCCTCCGAGATTTGTCGTCCTTGTCCGAGAAGGCTAGGGGTAGATCTTTCCTACCAGAAGATCAGGGGTGTGGCAGAAAGACAACAGTAAGGAGGCTGCAGAAAGAGTCAGGAGCCCAGAAGAGGAGGCAAAGGAGATGAGGGGGAGGGGGCAGAAAGCAGACGACAGAGCATTGCTGGAGAGCAGGAAAGGAGGTGAAAAGAGACAATTTTAGAGAAGAAAATTTTTCGGTCGCTACCCGGATTCGAACCCGGGACCTTTGAAAAAGAGGCCAACACCTTAACTTCTAGGCCACGAGAGCCCCCTTAATTGTGTTTAAACAATGACTACTGTACTCGAAAGGCTTTTAAAATAATTTTTCATTAACATTTAATTTAAAAATCACAATTAATATACAATTCTTTATAGAGTAAGTCCCATGCAAAGAATAGTGATCCTTGCAGTTGAACAATTTATTTATATGTCAAATTTCTCAAATTGTACAACTAAATGAAACAGGTCCAGGGGGCACTGTAACTCAACTGGTGTTATTGTGTTCATCTATACAGGAGGACCGGAGTTTTATTCCCACCATGTCAGGTTTTGTCACATGTTTTCCACATCCTTTGATCCTCAGGTATGTAAGATTAACTCTATCTCTGAGGAGGGTAAACCCACTATGCCTGGGCTCTTTTTTGGTGCTAGATCTAAATCTTGAAATAACGAAAAATTCACAAAATTGGTCATTAAAAAATTAAAACAAGTGAACCTAGTTTGATAGTTCATCTAATGAATGAAATCCCAATAAAAGAGATCGCCGAAAAGTAATTTGATGTCGAAGTCGCTCTAAAGGAAAGCGCCAGGGCCGCTGTCAGCGGCTCACCAGTTCCGACCGCGAGCCAATGGGAGCGGCTTGCACGAAATAAAGTTAAGCACCTGGACTTCTCAGATATGGACTAACATTTTGGAGATCCTGTGTAGAAGTTTCACACACAAAGAATACTTGGCAGTTCTGAAATTTTTATTGAACGGACAGAAGGCTCTTTGGGCCACCATCAAGACAAAATTCAAAATCAATTCTAACTCAGAGTCAGGGACTACATACTCCAGCCTGAACATTATTGCACTTGTGATAAGACTGGCTAACCAATAAAATAACAATTGTTCTTTTTTTGTTAGCTGACAGTTCAATTTTTAGGTTCAATAGTTAAATTATCAACATGCTAGATCAAAGAAAGTCAGAATTATGACTAAAAATGCTCCTAAAAAACAACTTGCATGATAAAAGCAAATGTGATTTTTGCTTCTCATGTAGTGGGCCTACTCCACTAGGTTAGCTGGTCCTATCACAGTCACAAGGGCAATATATAGAGTACTATTTGAAAACAGTCCATTAAAAAAGATTCCAAACAAAATGTTTATGAAGAATTTTACTAAAGGTAAATGAATTTATTACAAATAATGAATATATGAAGTGTTGGAAGAGCAGGAATTGAAGATATCAACACAACCATAACAATTTAAGGAGAAGATGGAGATATAGACTAGAACATGTTTTAAAAATGCAGAAGACAAGATTGCCCTATCCTATTAGACATAGTATGGGAAACCAACTGGAAAAAAGAAAACGAGGAAGACCAAAACTGGAAGCTCTATAGGCTATAGAGGCACAATAAGGGATGAGGAAATCACCCAGGGCCTGAATTTGACGAAATTGGAGGACGTGGCCAGGGATAGACAAGCGTGGCATGGACTGCTCTCCGCCTTACGTACCTGATGGTATAGGGAGAGATCAGTAAGTAGCCTATCCCTAAGTAGCATCGAGTGTCTTCAGTCTGTCACGCAGAGAATGTTCCAGGTAGGTTATAATATATATATATATAAAATTGCCATAATAAATAAAAATCGATTCCTATAAAAATTAACAGCTCCATGAGATGAAGATCTAAGAGTCACAACCCCCACCCCCAAGGTGAGCCCCACCAGTGCCAGGCCTATAGATGTGGAAGAAGAAACAGGTCTAGAATTGGCGCTTTTTCGGTAGTTCCCACCCCGCAATTGATTTTTTCGCGGGTTTTGGCCCCAAGAGTAGGGGGGTTTCAGGGGGGCAGCACCCCTGCCCTAATAATAATCGCAGTGGCTATTTTTACGGCGAGCCGTAAAGATAGCCTCCCAGGCTATTTTTACGGCGTGCCGTAAAGATAGCCTCCCAGTGAGTCCCAGGCTATTTTTATGGCGATCCTCGAAAAGCGACCCTACTCCGCCTCTCATGTACGCGACATGCCTCTATGTATTAGATCTAGGCCTATAGGGGTTGTTCAAAATATAAACTTACACCTCAGAGGGGAAAGGGTGTCTTTGGCTTCTGTAAGAAAAGTGTAAGATTGGGTGGGGAGGTTAACCAGATATGACACTTTTGTGAGATGAACGTTTTGCTCATGACTGGGAAGAAAAGGTAAAAGAAAAAGTGGATAACAAGACCCAGATCTGCATGATCACTGCAGATCCCCGTTGTTGTTGTTGTTTTTTTTTGGTTTTTTTTAGAGGGGGGGGGGGGGGGGGGGGTTACAAATAATTTTGAAATTATGATGAAAATTCTGTAGGTGGACATCTAATTTCTTAATGTTTCTTTGTAACTTTGCAACTGTTTTGTTGATCTTTTAGTGTCTTGATGTCTTTTATTTGTGAGGCACATACCTATTGCATTGACAAGAGTCTCAATGTCTTCCACATATATATGCGTTCTGTCTAGTTCATATGGTTTGATTAAATTGTATTAACTGAAATGTTCTTTTTACGGCAGTCACAAACTGATGACGTAGAACACGTTTTTCAGTCTTATAAATTCCGTCTTGGCTTGTAGGCCTTGTAGGCTACTACCTTATTTGTTATTTTATACTACATTTTACTAAATGACTAAACTAATGTAACATACTTTGAGCTGGTTAAAACCGAGAGTAAGGCACTATAATTAAATGTCCTCTATTATTAGTATTATCATAATTATAGTCTTTATTCTGGACTTAAACAATTCAATGTTTTTATGTTCTTTACTAGGACCTTGTTGTTGTGGGATTCTTTCAAATAATAAAATAGATCGCATTTTTTAAGTTTTTGTGTATTGTTTTCTGATGTGCTCATATTATTACTGTCCATTTTTACGGGGAACAGCTCACCCCAAGGGTGATTCTTTTTCCGATTCATATTTAGGAAAAAAAATTATACGGGCATATCAAGAAATAATGAAGAAAGTAAATTTTGATAAGTCGGAAAATATGAAAGTTGCCATGGAATGGAAACAGCACCAACATGCAAAACAAACAATAATTTTAAAAAACCGAAGGCTTCTTACTCTCTAACAAAATTGCATGAAAATTGGTGGAATGGTAGATACAGATACTATGGTCAATCGTACTGAGCAAAATTTTGATATTTGAAGGTGTAAAAAAATATATGTGTTCCTGTACCCTGAAATTGCATCACAATAATTAATAAATTAATCATTGTGAACGCACAAAACATTTTTTTTACACCTCTATCAAAAATCTGCTCAGTGCAAATTATAAGGAAGGAGGAACATTTTAAAGGCATTCCCAAGGCGAAAAGTGTACTCTAAAATGGCCGCTCTTCTTGTGGGTGTGGTACATGTAGTGATGTCAGTGAATGAGATGATGATGCTGGCAGTGGCAGTGATGATGGTAATGATAGTGACGAGGAGGGTGGCGGTGATGATAAAGAGAGGGTGAATGATGATGGTGGGGAGAAAAAGAAAGAGGTGGTGGTGGAGGAAGAGAGAAGGAAGATGACGAAGAGAATAGAATGACGGTGAAGAGGAGGAAATGGAAAACCTATGGGGCTGTTCAAATATAATCTTACACTTTTGGGGACTTTTTTAAAACACAAAACCCAATACCACTTTTCTCACATTTGCCTCCTACCCCCACCTACACCAATTTAATATTAGTACTTTTTCCGATCTTCAACTTCCATTATTATTTTAAAGATACCTGTACTATACGCGGCTTTTTTTAACTTGCTTGTTAAAAAATATATCATTTCAGTTAATACAATTTAATCAAACCATATGGACTAAAAAGAAACGCTAAAAAAGCTGTGGAAGACATTGAGACTCTTGTCAATGCAATAGGTACGTGCCTACAAGTAAAAGACATCAAGACATTAAAAGATCAACAAAACAGTTGCAAAGTTACAAAGAAACATTAAAAAATTATATATCCACCTACAGAATTTTCATCATAATTAAAAAAAACAACAACCCAACAATGGGGATCTGCAGTGATCATGCAGATCTGGGTCTTGTTATTGGCATTTATCCACTTTTTCTTTTACCTTTTCTTCTCAGTCATGAGCAAAACGTTCATCTCACAGAAATGTCATATTTGGTTAACCTCCCCACCCACCAATCTTACACTTTTCTTACAGAAGCCAAAGACACCCTTTCCCCTCCGAGGTGTAAGTTTATATTTTGAACGGCCCCTCCTATAGGCCTAAATCTAATACATTGAGGCATGTCGCGTACATGAGAGGCGGAGTAGGGTCGCTTTTCCAGGATTGCCGCAAAAATAGCCTGGGACTCACTGGGAGGCAATCTTTAGTCTTTACGGCACGCCGTAAAAATAGCCTGGGAGGCTTACTTTTTAGTAAAAATAGCCACTGCGATAATAATAAGGTGGGGGGTTTCAGGGGGGCATGCCCCCCTGAATTTTACCATAATTTGATGTCTTAGCTCGCCGCGGATCAAACCTATCGGTCTCGATGTAGTCTAGATCTAAGCTCAAATAAGGGGGGTGGGAACTACCGAAAAAGCTCCCTAGAATCTAGATCTAGTCTAGATTCTAGATCTAGAATCTAGATTTAGATCTAGATCTAAGTTTATAGCCTAGATCTAGTTTTTTTTGTAGCACCACAGATTCAGCTTCTTGTAAGTCTTACTGGCCTGTCTTACTCTTCTTAGAATATCTAAGTTAAAGTAAGATGAGTTGAGGATTTCAGGGTCACGGACACACCGCAGGAGAAGAAAGGAGGCTGATCGACTTTGGCACAACTTAGTGTATTTAATACAGAGGGGTACATGTCACCTTGATCTAATCCTTTCCACGGAAAGGGGCGTTGACAAACAACAAACCTAATCTCACCTTACAAAAACACCGGTCTGCAACATCGCCATTCCATTTTGCGGAAGCAATGGACGCAAGCGAAAAAAGTAATAATCCAAGTGCAAAACGATTCATTTTGCTTGGAAACGAATATTTTTTGTTAAAGCTATCAGACGCCTTTGATTGATAGACAAACTTCAGACACACAACTTTCCAGCACAGGCTGTTCAATGCTCAGAAGTCCACTAAGTGACACATGCATTTCAGCATGCTTGCTTTTGTTTATATCACCTAACAACACCTACAGAGGTTACCGGAAATATGTGAGACCAAAAGAAATACTCCACAGCTCGGGATCTTTACAGAGTATTTTGGCCTCATGTTCAGGGAGAGCCGATTCAATTATGAGAAGAAAAAAACTTTCAGGTATAAGTTTAGTTTCCTCCTCTGTTTTTAGACCTTTAAAGATTGAAAATTATTTATTTGCATTTACGCATGAATACAATGCAATGAAAGAGTACGTGGCGAATAGAAGAAAATCCGTGTTGGTGATTTCCTACGTTATTTTTAGCACGTAAGCTCAAAACAGGACTTTTCCGGTGTAGCGGTATGACGTGAAGACGCACTAAGCAATAGAAAGTCGTCATGTCACACCACAGAATTCTACACTTAGAAGTGTAGAATTCTGTGTGTCACACTCATTATTACATTTATCAACGGCAGCTATCAAACTTATGTACCTCAGTATCTGAGATGACTTTGAAAATAATTTACCCAAAACAGATTTTAATATTTTAGGATAACAAGGATAATTAATGCCCACTCAGTAGGACGTAGGACGTACAAACGTGCCGGATAAATTTTTAGAGATGGTTAAAATGTTTACTACCGTAAGCAAACTCTCCTCCCAAAAAAGTTTTAAAATAAAATAACAATGTAAACTGGATCAGAGACTCTTAATAACATGTATTTATGAAATGAAATACTCTCTGACTGGATCTAGAATCTATATCTACATCTCAATAAGCTCCCCTTTTGTTGTGTTTCGTGCCTGGCTTCCTTCGTGCTAACAAATTCAAAAAATGTAAACGAAAGGCTGTGTATGCAAACCGAGGACTGATAAGGGTTATATTTGACTTATTACTGAAAGCCTTTATTATTACTTGTTTCTTTTTGAAGGCTCTGCTGGCTCCACGCTTTTGCTGCCCAGGTTTCACTGTAACTGTAAGTGCAGAGTCTTAGAATTCCACAATTTGCCAGTGTGTAAAACGACTTTTTCTAGATTAGATCTATAGAAATCTATATCTAATCTAGATCTAGAATCTAGAATTTTAGATCTACAGTAGTCTCCGCCTAAGATCCCACCGCTTACGATCCCGGTTCGCTTAATTAAGATCCCGTTGTTTTAAGAAAACAGAATTTTTACTATACAAAAGTCCCCCCTAAGATCCCGCTCTGATGGTCTACATTCGGCTAAGATCCCGCATTTCAGATCGTAATTTGCGAAACAAAAACCCGGGCGGGCACAGCCGATCAACCAATTTCAATTGTCAATTGTGAAAAGTTGAGATCAATAAACTGTCCGTTTCATCAAAGATCTGCCACTATCGTAAATGTGATCCCACACACGTTGTAAAACTCGATGAAGCGATACAATGTCTGCCCCAGACGGGATCACACCGGGGTGTGAACTGACCGACGCGTTTGTTTTCCCCACGCATCGCACTCACACCTGAGCTCTCCCCCTAAACTTGCATCACTCGCTGGGTGGGTAGGGCTACACGTTCGCTCCAGGCGTGATCACATCGAACCGTGAACTCTTCCCTGACCATTGCAGGAGTTGTCTCTACTCCCGAATTTGCGAGACAGACTGAATTTTAATTGATGTGTTCACAACGTAATGGTGTGTAACGACAAAGGCGTTTTTTTTTGTTTGGGGGGGGGGGGAGGACTCGGTCAGAGATGTGGTAAAGGGGAGTGGCAACTGAATATGCGTAGATCTTAAGACTCATGACAGGATAACAAGTGAAAATGGCACGCCTCATCCCACTATGCACCGTGATAGGTCATCAAGGTTAACCACTCTTTGCTCTCCATATGCCATAAATCCACCAAGGGGGCACGTCAGTTCATTGTAGAGGGAAGGGAGACCATTTTACCGATTGTGAGCCTTAACATGGGTCACCATAGATTCTTCCCTGGGTTCGTCGGTTAAGATCCCGGTTCGCCTAAGATCCCGCATTTCCTTGCTCCCGAGCACCGGGATCTTAGGCGGAGACTACTGTATTCTATATTTAGATCTAGATCTAGTTCTAGATGTAGATTTAGATCTAGATAATCTAGATCGGAAGGACTTCCGTAATGAGCGACCACCCCATCAAACACTAATAAAGAAGAGGCCTAGACCTAACCCTACCCTTACCCCTACCCCAAGCCCTCAATTCTGCTCAGTCTCATAGTGGTTGCTCGTTACGGAAGTCCTCCCTCTAGATCTAGAATCTATCAGAATCTATATAATCTAATAAAGATTAGCCTACATTTTTAACCCTCGTCCTGTGTGGGCCGGGTATGTCGCCCGATAAGCCTATTTCGACACCTCGCCTGCGTTGTGGTCCCACATCAGTCTGGCCCCTGGCTCAGCGCACGCGCGCCGAGCATCATCTCCCATTCAATTCGGGTCCCCCGTCGGATCCCCATTCATGCAGGTCAAGTGTGTGTGCGTCTTGGTGTGCATTTGTGGCCTTCTTCTAGAACCGCCTGCTTTGGTTCGTAACCGAGGCATACGACACGTCCCATTCAAAACACGCCAAGTTGATAGCTCTAGATGTTCATCCACTGAAATTATAGAAGAAATTGACCCACTTAGACATTAGGGAGCTCGAAAGGATAGTCAGGAAACTAGACTTCCATTTTTTTGTACTTTCTTTTCTTCTTCCTCGTTCTCGATAACAGCTAGACAGTCAGTCCGATGTCGCGCACAAACTGTGCTGTTCGCTTCAACTCTTGAGAGACTGCCATAGAGAGCTTTCTCTCAAGGGGAGCCACATTCTGCCATGTCTGTGTACAGATCAGAGGGTGGCCTAACGCGGGCAGTGCTGAAGGATATGGTTGGCATCCTCTTGGTCATGTCCACATTCACAGTTCGCTGACTCTCTCACTTTTAATTTGGTGTGCTATTGATAATGGTGTTTGAGTCTGTTGTGGCCTCAACAGAGTCTAAAGATTGTGACCTGGTCTGCTCTATTTAGTATGTAGTAGGGGTCATTTCTGTTGTGTTTTGGATGGGACCTTTTCCATCTGTTTCTTAAAGCAGATTTTATTTAGTGTTTTTGACTCTGAGAGATCCATGCCATCTTCAATCTGGGTCATTTTTGTTGCACTGGGGTTGTTTGCCATTATTGTATTTAATAAAGCAAAAGAAAAAACTCTGTTTCTAGATGAGGAAGGGTAATTTAATGATGAAAATAATATGAGGTCTGCCCTCTCTGGCTTCACTGACAAGACTAAATAAATCATAATGAGCATGAGTACATGTGATTGAAACAGGAAGGAGGAGTGAGTAAAGATCACTAAGATCAGACAATCTTTGTTGTGAGGGTAGATAAATAAAAGTAGGGCCTACAATTACAGGGACATAATTCAACATGTTAATATAAGGACCAACAATCCAGGATTTATTGTTTCCCTTCTGTATATTGATAAAAGCAATCTAATAGTCTAACAATTTTGGCTCCTTCTTTGGCTAAGTCATCTGATTTTTCATCCATGAATGCCACAGTGACTTGGTATCCAAGTCTGCAGAGTTGTGTTGGCTTGGGAGTTTAGTTCACATATATATAGGAGTGAAGGGAGTTGTCGTACTTGAGCTGTTTGTGGCTTTTGGAGAGCTTGTAGGACAGATTTGGCATCTGTGAGGATGACGGTGTTGGCTTTAGATTTTTGGGGATTCAAGAGAATGGTGGCTGCTGTTTCGAGTGCTGATGGTTCTGCTTTGTAATTGGAAGATAGAGATCCTGTGGGGATCGAATGGCTTTCTGTTGACCCATCTATCCACCTATGTAGATACTTCCACCGCCGTTTCTGACTGCATCAGTTGCTGATCCATCTGTGTAAACTCGATTCCACCGGTTGCTTGGAAAGTTTCTGTCCAGGTAGTCAAGCATCAGTGACTTGAATTATATTGGAGGAGGAACTTCAGATTTGGTGCCAAGCTTTTCTAGGTTATTTTTTCGAATTTGAGGGGGGTGATTAGTCTGAAGGGGGTGAACTTGACACGGGTCTAGTGGGGTTGGAGATTCTTCAAGAGAGATTTTGAGTCCAGAGCTGGAGTGTCTGGCCATAAGGAGGAAGCTTGTTCTTCTTAAGTATTTGCTCTGGCTTTTTGAAGATCTATCCTTCATTGGATGGGTTGGCATTCTTTTGACCTTTTCCTGATGAACAATTGCTTTCAGATCGTGTCTGTCGTTCAGGGGTTCTAGCCCCGTTAGTGTTTCCATGACATGAATGGGCGTGGATCTCATTTCTCCCGTGATGATCCGCAGATTTTGATTCTGGATTCTCGCTACTTTGTGGAAGTTGCTGTCTGATGCTGTTCCCCACACTGCGATACCATATTGATATTCCAGGACTGGGCGGACATATCCAACAAAGGCTCCACATAAGACGGTGTGATTTTTCTCTCCAATCTGACCCTGTCTACTTTCTAAGCAGTGTTGTTCTTCTGTTGCCTTTACTTCTGCACCTCTCTGTTTAGGCCTTCCATGTTAGTCTTGGATCAAATGTCACACTCAAATAGGTGGGATTTGACTTGTGTTGTAGAGTGTTTCCATCATGATGCAAGTTTACCTTTCAGGGTTTTGGTGAGAGGCTGAATGTTGTGTACGTGGTCTTGTTCTTGTCGATCTTCTGTCCCCACTCTTATGTCCACTTCATCATGTTGTTAAGTGTGCTTTGGAGTCGTACCTGGGCTGTTCCTACTGACTCTGCCGAGCATAAAAGAGCGATGTCATCTGCGTATTCCACTGCTGTCACTTTCTTAGTGATTGTGGTTGAGATGTCGTTGAGGAAAATCAGGAACAGGGTCGCTGATAAAACTCCCCCTTGTGGGACTCCATTACTGATTGTCTCCATTTTGCTTCTTTTTCCTTGCAGTTTCTCACAGGCTCTTGTTTGAGATAGGTATTGTGAGATCCATTTCAGCATGTTGTGAGAGATGTTCAGATTTTGTAATTTCAGTATGAGTGCTTCCGTCCAGACTTTATCAAATGCCTTCTCCAGGTCGATCCAGACGGCTACAGTGTGTTCTTTCCTTTGGAAGCCGTCCTCTACCATCTGAGCAAGCAATGCATGTAATCTGGTCTTCGGTTGATCGATGTTTCCTAAACCCAGCTTGGTTATCTGATAGAAGATGGTTTTTCTCTAGGAACCAGCAGAGTCTGTAGTTGAGGATCCTCTCTAGAAGCTTGCACAGACAGCTGGTGATACTGATTGGGTGGTAGCTTTCTGCGCTGTTCTTGGGTTTTCTGTCTTTAAGGAGGGGTATCTGTATAGCAGTTTTCCAAGCTTTTGGAATTTTCCCGTTCTTCCAGCTACTGTTGAATATTTGGAGGATTTTCTTCTTAGCAGTGTTTCCCATATGCATAAGCATGTCATGGCTTATTTTATCTGGGCCTGGGGCTTGTCTTAGTTTGAGCTGGAGAAGGGCTCTATCCAGTTCTGTCATTAAGAGTGGTTTGGTCATAACGTCATCTTTAGGTTCTTGTGGGGATTCAAAAGCATGTATTTTTCTCTGTACTTCTTCTATTCTGTCTGGGGATATTTCTAACTTGCCCACTTCCTTGTACTGCTGAATGAGTAGGTTTGCTGCTTGTTTATCTACGTTGGACTCGCCATCTTTGTCTAGTATTACTGGTACATCCCTGTTTAGGTTTTCTCCGTTTAATGATCTGACAATCCTCCACAGTTGTTTCCTTGTCTAAGTTTAGGAAGCTTGTCTTTTCATGCCAACTTTTCCGAACGGTTGAATTAGTCGCCTTCTTAAATTCTGCTGCAGCTTTCTTTAGCTGAATGTTGTTTTCTGTTGTTGGTAGATTTTCAACTGCTTCTCTTGCTGTGGTGACTTTGTCGCTAAGCATTCTGAGCTCTTCAGACCAGTTTGGAACATAATCCCTTCTAGCTCCTCTGTGGATGGACTCTTTTGCCGCTTGCAGTATGGCCTGTGTGAACTCCCTCACACTTCTGTTAGTGTTTGAGGTTTTGGCATGAATTTTGGTGGTATATACATCTGTAAGAGATGCAAATTTGGTCCAGTCTGCCTTTTTGTAGTTACATCTGTGCAAGGTGCTAGTTGATACGGTGGGGGGAGAGACTTGGCTGGTGATTAGGATAAGTTTGTGGTCACTAGTTGCAAGTTGTTCCATGACTTGTTTTGTTGCTCCTCTGCTGCTGTTGTTGCTTGCAAATGACAGGTCTGGGTGAGACGTGGTTTTCCAGGCTCTGGAGAAGAAAGTGTGGGGGGGGGGGGGGGGATCGTCTGGTTTGTTGAGCAGGTGTAGCTTGGTGAAAGCTTGCCAGTCTTCTATTTCCTCTCCTTTGGCATCTAGGTCTCTGTATCCCCAGCTTGGAGAATGACTGTTGAAGTCACCAAGCACTAAGCAGTCATCTGTTGGAATGTCCATCACTTGAAGCTTGAGAGCTTTATCGGGTGCATAGCAATTGTAGACTGTTACAATCCGGTCTGGGAGTTTGAGCTCGACTCCTATGATTTCTGACTCACCTGTATCTTGCACCCTGATTTCTTTCGCCGGGATGGAGTTTGCGACAATGGTGAGCACTCCTCCTTTAGGTGCGTAGTTCCTATCCTTTCTAAAGGTTTGGTAGCCTCTGATGTTAAACCTCATTGCTGAAGTAAGGTGTGTCTCTTGCAGACTGACTATGTCAATCCTTTCTCTGATGAGGGTGTCTTTTAAGGCATCTTCCCCCATTGGAAGGTTTTTAGAGGTCTCTGCTGACTCTCTGGAGATGATTGGCCAGTCGTAATCGGCTGATCTCTTCTCCTGGCTCCCCGGGAAGAGACAGAGATACCACCAGTAGCTTGGGATGGGCCCCTTCGAGACAGAGGGCCCGGCACTTCGTCCGCCTGGCGGGATTCCACAGATGAAATGCCACATGGAAAATCTTTGGATCCTGACATCATAATGAGACTTGCATGAGGCAGTTTGGGCTAGCCCAACTATCGGCACCTTTCGGCCCATCTCTCCGTCTTCGGCGTGCTTTTCTGTCTGGGAGTGCTCCCATATCCTATAACTTTCCTGGGTTTGCCTGCTAGGCAGCAGGGGTTTTTGATCAGAGTTTTCCTTCTCCTAGATGAACTGCCATCCCTGGCTGACGAGTTCCATCTACCCGGGGTGTGGGGATATCGCGCCCCAGTCTGGCTGGCGAATCTTTCACCGGGCAATTAGGGTATTTTACATTGAGTAGAAGAATGGGATCCCACTACACAATCTTCACCCTGCCCTCCATCCTCACCGCCATTTTGTCTGTGACTACTTATTTAGATATTCGCAGCTAACCTCTATATCTGGAGGCTGTTCCACTATCCGCCACCTGTGGACGCACTGGGTTGGGGTTGGTTGCCCCGGGGCCCAGATTTTTCTAAACAAAATCTTTCAAATGAGCTTGATTTTGTATGAAATGATACTACCTGATAAAAAATAAGCTTGTTTGATAATTTTGAATACCATTGTGCAGGTACAAAGGACAATTTGAGTGCAAAACATTTGGAAATTGACCTATATTATCCCCTTTCGAACCCCAAGTACCTGCACCTTGGACTTGCAACCGTAAGGTCGTGGGTTAGAATCCCGTCAGGGGCCCGACGTTGTGTCCTTGGGAAAGGCACTTTGCACAAATTTTCCTCACTTCACCCAGGTGGAAATGGGTACCCGGCTATAGACAGTGTACGATCTTGTCAGTTTGGTAGTGTTTGAGCGCGTGAAATCCGCAGCTTGCACTGTATGCTTCTGCGGAAGCCGAGAATGTTTCTGTGTGTTCTCAGAGGGTCTGCTGGGGTAATAATGGTTGTAAAGCGCATAGAGCATGCTCTTGAGCGTGGATATGCGCTATATAAATGCATTTATTTATATTATTATTATTATGTTGGCCCCACAGTTTGAGCGAGTGGAGACCCTAGAGATATGTAGGTCAAGTAAGTTTCAAATAGGGACCTCAACTAGACCTTGGCTTTACCACACTACTCTGAGAACTGGTAAAAAAGTTAGTGCTAGGTAAAGTGCTATCTATTACTATTACTGCAAAGTGTTAAAGTTAATTAAACTGTTATAGAGGCCTTGAGATAATCGCTTGAGTTAAGCTAGAGAACCATTAACATAGGTCGTATTATTTTACTTTCACTCCCTTCTCATGTTCTGGTATTGTACAAACCTTTACTTCTTGTGCATTTTTGTTCATTTTATGCGAATACAGTAGATATAGTTGAACCTGTACTGTGTAAAACGGAATCTCAGGGGAGCTAGAAAAAAATTCTGACTTTGACATTTTCCATCTTAGTACATGGGAATATGTGTGGAGAGATGGAAGGGAGATGTGGGGGGGGGGGTTCAGGCACCCAGCCGGTGGGACCAAGGGCCGCTTGTCCGATCGGCAAGCAGTGGTCCAAACTTCTGACCTCTCTGAGCCTCTCAAGTGTGCATTCCTCTCTAATAATGTCATGCATCTGTCCTCCTTATCCATTGCCACCAGTGTATGCATTTCATAGGACAACAGTTTGACCTATTAACTCTTTCCATCAAAACGTAACATATGATATATCAAATTGAAGGAAATTGAATGAGGAATACATCCCAATATGAAACAAGGATTAATTTTGAACATAAGTATGCATTACAAGGGTTAGAAATGGCGATGGTGGTGAGAAAAATAAATTTTGACGGAAAAAATTACATTCGCCAAACATGTGAAAGCAAATCAGAATAGCTATCTTATCATATACAGCCAAGAGCATAATCCAAAAATATCTGAATTACGCAGCTTTTTATTTGAAAGCAATATTCCAAATTTTGTTAGAGTTATGAAATTTATACTGAGTGCGGTTACTTCGTTTTGTTGTTGCCAGACTGCAAGAACTAATTCACTCGTTTTTCCCCAAACCCACGCTTTGACGAAGTGAAACTAGTTGTTTGCGTTTCCTAAATGCTTTCCGAGTTTTTCAATAGCAATAAAAAGTAATGATTAATGATGGATCGTTTTAAAACGAAACAATAATGAGGCACCCTATCGCAGCCGATATATCCGCGATACATCCGCAAGGGGTGTGGACTCGGTACCGATATATCGGCGATACGTCCGGAAAGAGTTAAAAACGGACACGTTTGAACTTGATCTCCTCTGGTTCCACCCTTAACCCCACCCATCTGTTTAAAAAGCACAGTCAACCAGTGCCATTCCTCCCGTGCATAATTATTTGAAGAACTTTTTTTTCATTTTCTCAGCTGGCTTTATGAATGTACAGGGCGGCAGGCAGGCAGAGGTCAAACTAATTTCACACCTCTGGCATCTGGCTACCCCTGGAAATTTCCATGCTGGAGTGCCACTCCAACATTTTCCCAGGCACTGGTGAGATTTCATACCCACACCACTCCACTCTGGCCATCCGCACTGCTAAGGGCTTACAGGGATGGGGTAACAAAAACCGCCAAATTGCACCCCTACTAATTTTCCTTGCGGCATGGCAAAAAAGTTACAGCCGATGGAACTCAACTTGATAGGTTTGTTTCTACTAATCTGAGCTGAGTGGGCAAAGCATTTTTTCTGTCTTTGACAGGTAAAAAAACACTCTGAAGGGAAGGACAGGTTTCCGACTTATAGAGATAATTATAGAGGAATTTATCAAGGGGGAACAGGGAAATTCATTTAAGACAGGTTTGCGTCTTACTCGAGTTTCCACTATTGCAGGTTCGACTGTATTGATTTTTTATCCATCACATATCATTAATGTCAAAAATATTTTTATGGCCTTTGTTCGAACTTTGAAAAGATTATGCTAAGCTCAATTGTATATTAACTTTTGTGCTTTAGACTGATCCAAGGGATTTCAGAGGGCCCTGAGGTAAAAAAAAATCTAGAGGGTTACAGGGGGCACGGCCCATGTTTTTTCCCATAATTTGGTGTTTTGCAAATAATGTTAAAAATTTTCTTTTAAATAATTGATTTGCAACAGTGTTAATGGTCATATATGTGACTGCAGCAAAAAATATGGTTGTTTGACCCTTAAAAGCAGTGTATATGTGTGTGTGAGTTAAAGTAAACATTTATCAGACACTTTTCACTACTCTTTCTGCAAAAGTATTCTTTAAAAGATTGTATAAATAATATATATAATTAAGGACATTATAAGTCAAAATTGTTACTTTGTGAAAGAATTTCTTTCCTAGGATCAAAATTTAACAAAATGCTGTACTTTTTTCTCTTTCACTTTCAGCATGAAATATGAGTACACTGACAGTGGATTTGGAGAGCATGAGCCCAGAGGAGGATGTCAGAATCAGGAAAGGGCCACCTATTATCTGTGTGATGTGCAAATCTGGAAGAGATGGAGAAGAAAGACTCTATATGTTTGGTGGCAATAGACCTTTTATGGCCAAGTTTCAAGCTAAACTGGTTTCCCTCATTGGCCAAGAAGAATTTTCTGCTTTGTGCGAAAATCACAAGACTAAATTCAATAGAAGTTATATTTGTAAACACTGTTATCGAAAGGTTAACAGTACATATGATGGAATTGTAAAAATTCAGAGAGGGATTGCAAAGTCTGTGAAAAGAGTCAAGTCCCTCAGTGGCAACTGTTCCCCGTCTGAAGAATCGGAGAACGAAGAGCTCGTTCCTCCCAGTGAGTTTGTCAGAAATAAATTTATGCACCCTTTTTCTTAATCTCATCTTTGTTTGACTGTTTTTCACGTGGTTCCCAATATCAACATTTTAATATAAAAGATGTTTTTGTTGACAGACACTGCCAAATTATTGTTGACTGTTGTCTATTGAATGTATTTAATTAAAAAGCCAAAGTACTAGTACATTCAAGTAGGGTGATATGTCTTTAAAACAAAACAAAAAAACTATTTTTTTTGGCTAAAACAAGAGAGATGTATAACCATAAAATAGAAGATGCAGCCCTTCAAACTGCTACTGTGTTTGTAAATGGTCATAACTGTTTTGGTTTTGGCACACCCGGAGAATGTGAGACAGAAGAGATAATGGACTGCCATTTCTCAGTATATACAGTTACACTGATGTTGTCCGACATGTTTTCAAAACGCAAAATGCCCTGTGCTGCTTCTCATTTCATATTAATGAGTGCACTTTTTATCTGAACTGTTTGCTTCTCTTCAGCATATTTCATTCTTTTGTGACAACATAGAATCTATAGATAAAGAGAAATCGTTGTCCATTTTCATTTTTTTTTTCTTTCAGCCATAAGTCCACGTAGGAAAAAGCTCCCTCCTGTTGTTGAGAGAATTGCAGAGAAGATTGCATCACTGACGTTTGTGAAGATAAACAACAAGACTCCCATGATAGTTCTAAAGCGTTTAGAATCGACTTCAGCGATGAAGTCACTTGGCTGTGATGGTGACAGTGGAAAGTCCATTGTTGTGGAAGGTGAAAGTCGTCTTCTCGATGTAACAGGTGCAGGAATTCAAAGAAATTGTCATGTTCCTGTGGGACAATTGAACTCTGTTGGTCTTCTTTACCGGGTAGTCTCTGTTGATGAAAATGGAGATTCAGCTGTGTGTTCAGAAAAAATATCTGAGAATCAAGAAGTTCTCAGTTCTGATGGAAGGTGTTCATCCAACCAGGACCAGTTGCATAATAAAACTTCAAATCCTTTGGATTCCCATTTTAACGAACTAGGCAAACTGTCTTCTAACACTGTGTCTGAAGTGATTAATGGTTCTAATACGTTATCAAAGGAGATGTCAGGGGATCAATATTCGGTGACTCTATCAGGGAATTGTCACACAAGTATAATAAATGGAATGCATGGTTTTGCTGTTAAAGAAGAGGACACAGTGGACTGTACATTGTCCAAAGCTCCGTCTAGTGCACAGATGGTAGAACTTCTGGCTAATCCATCTCTGCTGGTCAAGTCTCCTCAGGTATTTGTCTTGTTGTCACATGTCAACTCTGGTTGATTTCTAAAATTAGATTTTAGTCGTAAAGTGGAATTCTGAGAAAGCTATTAGTATTAGAACTTAAAAGAATAATATTTTATTGAATGAAATACCTGTTCACCTGCTGTAAAGAGCTTTTGTGAGAAGGAAAAGAAATTTTCTTCAATCAAATAAAACCCTTGAAATTATATTCTCCCTTTAAACTAGAGGTACTTTGATTTTAGTGTGCCAAGCCAGTATTATTAATGAAGTGGAAAAAAGTTCTTACATTATAAGAAAAATTGCATGCGAGGTAAATTTTTTCAGAGTTGTTAATTAGTTTTAAAAGCTTTTGTTGTTAACCTTTTCCCTTTATCCCAATCTCCGTCTTTCTCTTTTTTCTTTTCCATTTGAACATATCAGTCAATTGTCAGGTCACTTTACCTATTCACAGCCCATCAAGCTAGCAGACGTGAAAGACCGCAAGGTGTACCTCTGTGGGGAGGGTGGTTGTGACTGGATTTTTAGCTCAAAGTATCTGTGGGACAACCACATCCGGCATTATCACTACTGTGAGTGAAAGAGCTTTCATAAGGTCAATGTTGCAGGGTGAACAGTGGGTGCTGATATAATTAATTCATTTGCCTCTTTCACCCTCATATTGGGTATAGGCTGCCAAGAAGAGCCCTCTGCCTTTCTTTGTTCTTGGTAATCTTCTCCATCTCCAGCCAGCTGTGTCGGGTGCTGTGTTATGTTGTGTTTAGTCTATGATGAAAGTCCAGAACCTCTGAGTTTTTTTATGGTGTCAGTGTTGGGGGTGGTTAGAGGATTCTTTGGTATGATCTGCTTCTTTTTGGTGCTAGTGTTCTCCTCATTTGTTCTTGGTTAAATGTGTCCATGTTCATGCTTATCTGTGAAGACTATATTCTATGTCTCAGGTCAATGCTATTTGAACTGATGCTCAGATTATCTTTTTTTTTAAAAATGCCGTGACTTTTATATCAAATTTGTTCTTTCTATGTTTATTGCTCCATGTAGATGTATTGATTATTGTTCTCTTCTGGTTTGACCCTTTTTCATGGAGTCTGAAATTACTTTGATTCGTTCTAGGCTTTCTGTACTTGAAACAATAACGTTCATTAGATAAATGTACAGCCAGCGGGTTTTTTAAGGTAGCATGCTGGAGTCGGTGGTGTAACGGTAGCACTCTTTGCCATTGTACTCAGAAGAGTTCGGTTCCCACACAAGAAACTTATTTTATAGAGTATCTCTGTCTGTTTGCAGGGACACTGTACTATACTCAGCCAAGGTTGAAGCAATCTGTGTTCTGAATTATCTAAATTGTGTTGATGAGGGCATTAAACAATATACAATCATTTACTATCAAAAGTAGCAGTAGTGATTCGTATGTTGCAGAGAAGTGACTTACTCTGTTTTTCTCTCTGAATGTGTACTTTCTTTTGTTGCTTTCCTTATTTTTGCTTGTTGCTTCCTTTTTAACATTTCTTTTATTTAGAATCTTGTCTTGTGATACATCTTTGAGCGTCTGCTATGCTTTGGTTAATGTCTGACCCAACCCAATTATTTTTAGACTTTCCCTTATTATGGCTGCTTAATGAAAGATGGATTTAGTATTCAGGCACAAGTATTGTCATCGAGATGTTATGGCTCTGCTCATGTATCCAGTTCTAAGAAGAGTAGCTTTCAGTGAATGTAAGGTTCCAGTTTGTTATGGTAGTTAAATTACAGAGAGATGCAAGCTTTTGTTCTGTAGCAATAATTTACAAGGTGGGGACAGTAATTTTTTCCTTGCTTTTAGTTGTTTGAAAGTTTTAAAATTTTCCTTTGCATTTTCTTTTTCAGCTGGCAAGCCCTTCAAATGCCCTCATCCTGGCTGTAATAAGTATTTTGCCACAAGAAGCAGACAGAAACTTCATGTGCGTCAACATACTGGCGAAAGACCATTTGTTTGTGAGACATGTGGCAAGGCGTTTCGGTCAGGTCAAGAACTCCGGCATCACAAAGGGACACACGTAGGTAGGCTATTATTGTACTGTTTTCCTTCCAGGCTTGTCTGTTCTGTATTTTGATGTACCCATGTACTGTGGTGTAATAGCTTTGCTCTTCACTGTTGCACTCAGAAGATGCAAGTTCGATTCTCAAGAAGGAAAGTTGCTCTATATAGCATCTGCATCTGTCTGTGTGGTGGGTTGATGAATGCAACTAAATCCAGGTTGGCTCTAACAGACAGGGCTGAAGCATCTAAATGACCTAAACTGTGTCAATAGGGACTTAAAACGTTTACAAATATAATTGTAACCCAGTCAGCCCTGTGATTGTAAATAATGTGTGATCTGTCTTAGCACAACACAACAAACTGTTAGATCAGATGAAAGTCTCGGGGAGGGGGGGGGGTGATTTTCACATTGTGAGAAATGAGCTTTCTGTTTTTAAAATTAATTTAATTCATATTTATAAAAATGGTAGAATGGCATGTCTCAACAGCTCCTTGCTTTCTTAGTGCTTAGATGCTTGGTAACTGCTTGCTCTATACTACTGTATTGTAAACATTGATGAACACATATTTGTTAAAACAAGTTTTTGAAGGGTTGGTAATTACAAGTATGTATGTATACATTGTTTTTTTGTTGTTGTTTTTTTCCAGCTGGGAAACCTTTTAGCTGTCCCAGACCAGGTTGTGAGCAAAGATACAAGTACAGGAATACTCTCCTGGTGAGACAGATCAAATTTCACTCACATAGCTGTTTCTCACTGTTACAAGAAAATTAGTAACTCCATTTTGTTTTTACATATCCTGTAAAGCAGGGTCAAATGGAATGAATTTTTCCCCGGTGACAGCAATGTGTTGTATTTAATGTTTCAGCTTGTAGGTATTTTTCAGTATAGCAAATTGCATTTTGTTAATCTATTTTGTTAAGCATTAGCACTTTGAAGAGTGGCAAATTAAACATTGTAAGATTATTAGAATGTATGGTGTGCTAAATTAGTGCTAAATTATTTTTAGACCTATTATCTTTAAGTGTTATGTGTATGCAGTAGAATCTGTTTAAAGCTTTCGAGAATGGAAGACAAATCCAAGTATAATATTATAATTGACTGAACCCCTTATTGTAACACGAATTTTAGAAATATACCACTTCCTAAAATTGTATAGGCCTACATTCTGCACAAAAAATATTCTGTTCATAGAATACTTTCCTTTTGTATGCCTATTAGATAAAAAAAACATTTTAAACTCTTTTCAGACGTAGTTTTTTTGGGGTCTAGACATAATTAACCTGTTGCTCGATTTGGCTATGCAGGTTGTGTACAAAATAACTTCATAGAAGCATAACCATCACTCCAAATGTAACATATGATACATCAAATTGAAGGAAATTGAATGAGAAATACATCCCAATATAAAATAAGGATTAATTTTGAACATAAGTACTCATTAAAAGGCTTAGAAATGGTGATGAGAAAAATAAATTTTGCTGGAAAAAATTGCATTCACCAAACATGTGAAAGCGAATCAGCATAGCTATCTTATCATATACAGGTCAAGAGCATAATCCATAAATTTCTGAATGCGCAGCTTTTTATTTGAAAACAATATTCCAATTTTTGTTTAAGTTATAAAATTTATACCGAGTTCGGTTGCATTGTTTTGTTGATGCCAGACTGCAAGAACTAATTCACTCGTTTTTTCCCCAAACCCACGCTTTGACAAAGTGAAACTAGATGTTCTCGTTTCCTAAATGCTTTTCGAGTTTTTCAATAGCAAAAAAAAGTAATTATAAGTGACGGATCGTGTTAAAATGAAACAATACTGAGGCACCCTATCACAGCTGATATATCGGTGATACGTCCGCAAGGGGCGTGGACTTGCGCCGATATATCGGTGATGCGTCCGGAAACAGTTAATTAAAGTGTGTCAACTGGGTGAAAAATGTTTGCATCTTGGGTGTTTAATATTGTTTTGTTTTGAATGCTGATGTAAGCAGTCCTTGATACAATGTAAACCAACTTTTTTCCCCTCATGACATTCCATAACTTCAAACGATAGCATCACACTGGGTTTTTTCCTTTGTCCATTCCTCACAGCGCCACCTCCAGCACCATGATGGACGCTGCCCATTCCCCTGTGACTACCCGGACTGTGGGAAAGCCTTCAAGAACAGATACGAACTTAAGTGTCACTACAGGATTCACACGGGAGAGAAGCCATACGTCTGCAAAGAGCCGGGGTGCGGCCAAACTTTCAGACTGCCCTGTGAATATACCAAGCACAAGCGGCAGCACACAGGTCAGCTTGATGTGTTTTTGGTTAATAGTCTAGTCTCATTTGTGTTTGTTTACTGGTCAATCCTGATTTGTTTGTTTACTGGTGCGTCTTATTAGTGCTTGTGTTCACGTTAGTCTGATGTATATTAGTTTAGGTAAGCAGGATTTATGGGGGATGGTTGCCAACTTTTGCCTGTCGGCTCAATTTATCTTTTTTCATTCATCTATAATTTGAGATGTCAAAATTAATTCAGAAAAAAAGGGATGATCCAAAATCCTTATTTTTGTGTTTTTGTCCTCTTATGCTGTAATTTAAAGTAGGAAGGAGTTTTCAACAACTTATGCCTTCTGGCACGCAGTGTATACTCATTTACGCCCTAAGTTTATGTCTTCTTTTTCTTCTGAGAGCATCTTTTGTGTAATGGTTAGGCTCTTTGCTGCAGCGTACAGAAAATACAAGTACAATTCTTGTGTGAGACGTTGATTTATTGATTAGCTCCAGTTGGGATACTGTGTCCTATTCAGCCAGGGTAAGCATTTACAGGTACAGCTGAAGCAGCTTGCCTCCTAATTGATCTACATTGTATTGGTATGGGTGTAAAATGTGTGTAATGATTGCAATCTATCTTATGATAGGTGAGCGACCTTTTCGGTGTTCTGTGGAAGGCTGCAATGCTGCATATACAACATGCGGAGGTTTGTCTGGTCATATGCTCACCCACTCCAGTGAGAACAACTTCTGTTGTGAACATTGTGGGAAAACGTTCAAGTACAAGATGTCTTACGTGCTCCACTACAGGCAGCATGTATGTAAGTAGGAAGACCTAGAGAACAACATAGTCTTATAGATAATTACGTCATTGTTGTCAACTCAGTATGTGTCTGTTCTGTGTTTCCTTTCTTGATATTTGACCTACCACTGTATTTTGCCCTCGACCGACTTCCCTTTATTTCTCCTTAATTTCAAATGAAAAAGTTAAATAGAATTTGCTATGTACAGGTTTGCATGAAATGTGAACTATTTAAAGACAATTTATCCTAAAATTTAACATTGAGAACATAGAATGCCATTTGACTGGGTTAATGCTGTGATATACACCTGAAAAAATGCTCAATGAGATGGATGTCATTATGATGCCTTAAAAGTGAAACTGTGTTGTAGAAAATGTGGGTGTGTGTATGAGGGGATAGAGAGTATTATTTTGTTTTTAACGTGTGTCTAGAGTTCGTGGAAGCAAGTTGATTTTTTAAATTAGAAGTATCTTCACTTTTTGTGTCTGCTGTTCTGTGTACACATTCCTGTCAGCACAGAAAGTTAGGCTTCAGGTGACTCGTAAGATGTTGATGTCAGTACCTTGATTTTTATCTCAACTGACATAACTCTCTTTCCATGACTTGTTTCAGCTGTTAAGTAATTTGCTTTCAAGAGAACTTGATATTAAAAACCTTAGCTTGATATCCCTCACACTTTTCTGATTCTTTTGCTTTTCTGCTAGCTGAGTTGCATCATGGATCATTTATTATTCTCTTTATTGCTAAAGTTTTTCTTTTTATCCATTTGTGTACCGGTATTGGAAAGACATTTGCTTGGAAACCAAAGAGACTCCAAAAACATACTGACATTTTGTTATTGTTTATACTCTTCTTTTATTTTATGTTGAAAAAATTTCCGTTGCTTGCATTCTTTTTATTTCCAGATATAAATGTAAATATAATGATAGTAGAAATGATAATGATAATAATAATAATGATGATACTGATGATGATGATGATGATGATGATGATGATGATGATGATGATGATGATGATGATGATAATGGTAATAATATAAGATTGCATTTATGTAGCATATATCCTTACCAGTAAGAAATCTCTATAAACTTTGCATTTTGTTACCCCACCTGGTTCTTTTTCATTCCAAAATATTCTCAGCTTCCTACTCCTTGGAGGCACTGTGGTAGAATGTTATGCACCTTTGTTTATTAAATAAGGATCAAAGTTAATTCATTCATTACTACAGTTTCTATACAGTGTAGCACTCTGTGATTGGAGTCACCATAATAAAACAGGAATCCACAGTATATTTACAAATTCAAACTTTACCTTTTTTTGTTGAAACTAACTTCTTCGAAAGGGCTCTTATCTGGGTTGCTGCTAAGTGGAAATAGATATATCTGTTCCTGGTGGAAACTAGCTTCTCTCATGTGGACTCACCATAAGTTGCAACTCAACTTCCAATCCATTTTGTTGTATATTTTCCAGCTCGAGGGGAACACAGGTGCACTGTTGAAGGTTGTGAGAGAGCTTTCCATCTACGTTACTTGCTCAACGATCACATGATGTCAGCACATGGCCTGTACCAGCCCAGGGAGATCAAAAGGAGAGCAAGGAAAAATGTCAGCAAGAATGGTCTTGTACGTGTAGTGAGGAGAATTGAAAGAAATGTAGCACAAACATAATAGTTACCTTGTTGCTGTTGCTATGTCTCTGCTTGTCTGTTTGTCTGTCTGTCAATGCAAGTGCATATAAAAGCGTGCACAGTTGCACCTAGAGGGCACACGTATGTTCTTGGGCACACATAATATGCTCACGCCCGCATGCATTCAGTTGTTCACACACGCACACACACACACACACACACACACACACACACACACATACACACACACACACACAACCACACTTTTGCACGCACACATACACTTACATTCACACATGCACACATTCTCTTATACATGGTCTTGTTGGTCTGGAGTTTTCACGTGAGTATTTGGTTCCTTGGTGGGGAATATTGGAGGGTGCCACTGGTAGGTCTTAATTCTTTACTTTCTATCTGTTGTTTTGGTCTGTCAATCATGCTCTTTTCCTGTAGTAAATGACCGTTGTAGGGTAAATGTGCTTCTTTCTTAAAGGTATGCCTGTGGTGGAATGGTTGATTTGTTATTCTGATGCTGTCAGCTTCTCTGTTTCTTTCTGATGTTATTTTCTTTTTCTGTTCTTTGTATAAAATGACAGTTTTCGTACTGACTCACTCACTGTAGGTGGATGGAAAATGCCATTGGTGGGTTCTATTTCCTTGTTATTTTTCTTGAGTTCTTCTTCTGCCTGTCTAGCTTTTTCTCAGCAGTTGATGCTTGTCTTTACTCAAGCTCTTGGTGTAATGTAGCTATTTGTCTATGGACTCACTTAAAATTACAAGTACAATTTTACAACAACAGTAATGAAAACATCAACAATAGCATCATGTCCCTACGTTCCAGGTGTTCTGCTGCCCTGTGGAAGGATGTGGCAAAGAGTATGTGGAAGCCCGCATCTTGGACCAGCATATGATATCCAAACATAACATCCATGACCACCAGGCCAAGCCAGTTCCACGCAAGAAATATTTCATCTGCCCTGTGGAAGGGTGCGGTAGTCAGTACATCACCTATGGGGGCTTGAGGTACCACAAGCTGACCTCTCACAACTCTGTTGGACATTCAGACAATCGCGTTAACACTGGAACAGACACAGATTCAGCGATACAGGTGCCACTGGTGTGTACGAAACTCATGTGCCCGTTCCAAGGCTGTGGGAAAGAGTACGAAGACACTGTGGGGTTGAGAGATCATCTGGCCAGAGCTCACGTGTCGATGCCCAGAGAGAAAATGTGTGGACTTTGTGGGCTTGCATTTCCTCATATCCAGCAGTTGGAGAAGCATATGCGTGGCTTCCATACAGAGATGTCTGTGGTGAATGAACATAATGTACGTAACAGGTAGCTCCTGAAGCTTTATTTACTACGAGTCTCTGTTATTCTCAGAATGTGTATTTTCTACTGTTGCTTTCCTTATTGTTGCTTTCCTTTTTTTTTTTTTTTAAATGTTATCTCATAAAATTCTCAATGAATATTATTATTACCAATTTACCAATTTAATTTAGAAATGTATGATGAGTTGTAATATCATCATCATCATCCAGTGCTAGATCTGCGACAGACATCGGCGATCATGGTTCTCCATTCATTCCTTTGCTCAGATGCTCTTAAAAAAGCTACGTTTCCCTGATCTTTCCCTGTTACCCATTTATTGTTTGCCTTCAATTTTGCCAGTGAGACCTAGATTTTCAAGACCCTTAGGTCTATTCAGGTGTCCCAAAAACTGCATTTGTCGTTTCCTGATTGTTTTTAACAGTGAGCGTCCTACATGGGCTTCATCAAACACTTCCTCATTTGATTTCTTTTCCTTCCATGATAGTCTTAGCAGTCTCCTAAGAAACCACATTTCTGTTGCTTCTATTTTATTTTCACTGTCTTTAGTGATTGTCCAGCATTCACAGAAGGGTTGACCATACATAGCATTTCAGAACTTTCATTTTGGTAGTCATTGTCTGAGCTTTGCATGGAGTAAACCGAGTGGTGCTGTAAACATTTTTTCCCTTCTCTTTATGTTTGGGCAGGTCAGTATAAAGAAAGAGTAACAATATTTCATTAAATGGACAAAAAATGTCTAATAAGGATCAAATCAAAATCTAAAGAGACAAAAACATTGTATTATACTGACTTATATATCTACACATTATTATCATCCTGACCAAATACTTTTATGCCTACCTACATACATATTTCCAGACCTGTATCATGACTTACAAACCAACATGAAGTTTGGTCATGTCACTTTGTTTTTATTGTGCCAACAGAAATAGCCTCTCTATAACAGATCAAGGGTGGTATCTGTGTGCAATTCGACAAATGTTATCATTAAAAATGTATTTGATGCCATATCTGTCTGCTTTTGGGACATACAGTATTACTGCCATTTTGGCATGTAAACTTATTGTTTTTCGAAATTTGTCTGTAATGATTGTCGGGATTTCATTTCTTGCTGGATGAGCTGAGGAAAATGGATAAAGTAATTTTTTCTGAACATGTAAACTATGATAGACTATTTTTTAAAAAAGTTTTGATAACCAAGTGTATATTTGTATTGTGTTCACTTCACAGAATGGAATCTTTATCTGTAAAGCGGAGGGTTGCGGTACTGAGTTCCAGTGTGTTGAAGCACTCACAGCTCACATTCCCTGGCATAGAGGTAAGCTGTTGTTTTTTGTGACTGGAATATAACTGCAAGCGAGTGTAGAACGTGACTGCTACTCCTTGTCTGTTACCTCTTTCACTTCAACCACATTTGATTCTGGTATGATGGTTGGTGTTCTTCATCTTGCATACAAATACCTAAGGTTATGTCCTGCGTGGGGAAGGTGTTTAATAGAGTATCTTTGTAATTCTACTGGGATAAAATATCTCACAAAACCAGGTTAACGGGTTGATGCAGCCAACTCCCTAAATGGTTATGATGTGTCAATGTCGGCATAAAGCTTAACCTATAAATCACATTTACCCGCCACTGCTAGTCTATGACTAATGCTGCTTTTTAAAGTGATATTGACCAAGGGTCTGGCAGTAGTCATAAAACTGATGCGACAAAATTCATGGAGGAAAACAAAGGTATTGGAGTACATTTGACTGCATTTAAAATTGGTCCAAAGACACCTTTATTTAGATTCTGTTTTGCCAGTTAGTTTGATTCTTCTTTCAACGACGAGTGTAATCAGTGGCTTCAGTGATTGTCTTTTTGTGTTTGTATTCTTTTATCACATTATGGGGGCATATGTATTTGAGAGGATTGTTGTATGTTGAATGGGCATGATACATGTCACTGTGTATTCTGGGGTTGTTGTTTTTTTGAAGCACCTAGAGCCACTAAGGAGTAGGTGCCATAGAAGTGGTCTTCATCATCATCATCATCATCATTGTGTACAGCAAATAGTAAAACGGCTAAGACTTGGTAGTATTTCCAAAATATTTTAATGACAAGTTCAACATTTCACCCTCAATGGGCTTCATCAGGAACATTCAGAACATAAATGACAACACTAACTGTAGAAACCAAAGTGCATACATTCATGTCACAACGCTAAAAGGTGCGGTGAACACAAATCAGTATGGCCAGAAGTGGTAGAGAGAGAGAGAGAGGGGGGAAGGGAGGGAGGGAGAGAGAGAGAGAGGGGGAGGGAGGGAGGGAGAGAGAGAGAGAGATAGAGAGAGAGAGAGAAAGAGAGAGAGAGAGAGAGAGAGAGAGAGAGAGAGAGAGAGAGAGAGAGAGAGAGAGAGAGAGAGAGAGAGAGGGGGGGGGGGAAACAAGTGCATGGAGGTAATGAATCTGCTGCGGAAAGGCAGGGCCAGTTATTATTATAATTATTATTATTATTATTATTATGGTAGCGTCAATTGCCACCGAGTGAAGCGGTGTTAAGTCTGAAAACAACACTATCTTTAGCATTATACATAATGTGTGTCCAATGGGTCAATTTGTTCTCAACAAATTTCATTGGACGAGCATCTAGTCTAGAGCTACGGTACCAACTTGGTGTGTTTTCAATGAGACGTATCTAGATCTAGATCTAGGCTAGCCTTAGCCTACACTTTGGTGTAGAACCAACACAGGCAATTCTAGAAGTAGGCCTAGAAGGTCACAAACGCACACAAACTCAAGCAGAAATTATCGGGGAACATAAATTGGGGGACCGGGGTCAGGAAAAGACACACACACACACACACACACACACACACACACACACACACACACACACACACACACACACACACACACACACACACACACACACACACACACACACACACACACACACACACACACACACACACACACACACACACACACACACACACAGAGGTGAACGCACAACACCGAGCACTCGAGCACAATAAGCTAGATCTACCCACAAACGCAAAAGAGCTCCAATTTACTCGGTGGCAATTGACAAAAAGTCAATTTTTGTCTATTGCTACCGTGTCACTCGATGGCAATTGACACTACCTATTATTATTAGTAGTACTATTATTTTTATTACTGTACTATTACTATTATTAGAATTATTAGTTTGGTCAGTTGAATATTTCTTTTGCACATCATTAGCTTTCTGCAATAGTGAAAGTCAGATTTACATCATGGCATGATTTTGTTCTTTGATTCAGCAAATCCAACATATCGATGTCTGTATGAGGATTGCAAGCGAACATTTTTGTTGGAAAAAGGGTTCCAAGCTCATATGATGGAGCATGCAGACTTACGACCCTTTGAGTGTGACTACGAGGGCTGCGTACAGTCATTCCAGACTCAACTGAAACTGCTAAAGCACTCAAGAGTGCATTATGGTCAGTAAGAACGAGTAATTATAAATAGCTCAAACTTTATTTTACTTTGAAAAATTAAAACTCATTATATGTTATCCCAGATTAGGAGGATAAGTATTTCATATATATTGCTGTTGACAATGATGAAAATTGTATGCATTATTTTGTGGGTTTTTTAGGTATATGTACAATTTATTTATACCTGTTCTGTTTGGAAGATACAGTAGAGATGCTTTGCACCTTAATGGAAATTGCCAAAGGGACAATTACAAGTTTTAACCAATTAGATAAGCAGATAACTTTACATATATTGCTGTAAAATATAGTAATGCATTTGTAATATGACTAAAATATAAAATATCTATGTGCATACTCTCTCTTGCCATTTTTAACTCCCAGTGGAGCATACGCCATCTACAACATTTCTCCAGCGATGCCTGTCCTGTGCGTCCTTTTCTTGCTGTTTCCATGATGTTTCCACCTTTTCCATTTCCGCTTGTACTGCTCGCCTCCATGTAATCTTTGGTCTTCCTTTCTTACGTTTTGCTTGTGGATTCCACGTCAAAGGGTGTCTGATGATGCTTGTGGGGGGGTCTCCTCAGTGTGTGCCCAATCCATTTCCATTTCTTCACCTGTATGTCTTCCTTTACTGGTCTATGGCTCGTTCTTTCTCACAGTTGAGCATTTAGGACTCGATCGTACCACTTGATCCCCACTATCCTTCTTAGAGATACATTTATGAAGCTCTGCAGTTTTATGTGCATATGTGCATGGACGACTAGTAAATCAATGAAATATTTATGTACACATTTTTACTGCTAAAATAGGGTAATGTATATATGTACATTTATTGTTTGTTGGTTATAAAGTTTGTCTAATTTGAAGAGTAGTTCTAATTTCAGTCAAGGTGTAGGATTTTCTTTTTTCTTTTTTGTGGGTTACTCAAAATGGCTGCAGGTTTCTTATTTTCTGAGGTTTGTACAGAAAAGTTTAGTAGTATTTCAATATTTCAGTTTAATAATTTCCGAAATGTGGGTGGTTGGCAGGTGCTCTGGCGTGGTTTGCTTCTTCTTTTCTATCAAACATCTATCGTCCTTATCTCCCCTTCTTCTTTTTTATGTTTGTTACTCTCTTGTAACACCTCTAATCTTCTGGTGCTCATATGACCTTATGCAGTTGCGAGTGCCGTAAAACCTCTACTAAAACTAAAAAATTTCCCAAATATTGTCTGAATTGAAAAGCGCTGACTTAAATATTTTAGTCATGCAAATAGAAACCCAAACCCTATAACATCAGTGCTCAAAGATAAAGTTGAGGGAAAAAGGAAAAGAGGCAGGCCAATACCACTGTGGTCAGCTGTCTAGGAAGGTTAGTGGAGATTGTTGAACTCAGCTTATCTGGGGAACTATGGCGAACTATGGTTGCTTTATGTGGTGCTCCTACAGTTAACAGTGGTGATGGTGACAGATGACAGATGATGTTGATTTTCAGCTCTCTCTATTGTTGAAAGGTTTTCTGTTATTATTTTTCAATAATGATTCTCATTTGTTATAGCTTTGTTTCAGATTATTTTTCATCATATTTACTTCTGTTTGTGATGTCTCTCCCTTACAGATCTGTTCAAATGTCCTGTGGAAGGCTGTGGTAAGATGCTACAGGCTCTTAACAGTGCCAGAATCCATTTGTTCCGTCACACAGGAGAGAAACCGTATGTGTGCACCGTGTGTGGCAAGACTTTTGCTGCCTCCTCTCAGTGGATACGCCACAATCGAGTTCATACAGGTATTTGGCATCTTTTTTTCTTCTAGATCTGGGCTCCTGTATTTGATACTCTTCTTTACAGCTATGAATACTGGACAATTACCAAAGATACTGAAAATAACCTTTAAGCAACAGAATTCTCTAGGAGACTGCTGAGAATATCATGGAAAGAAAAGAAATGAAAAATGAGGTAAAAAAAAATTAGTTAATTGAACCACTTTGTCAAGTGCTCCTCTGTTGTGGTTATCCGGTCTTTGTGACTATGAAGCTCACATGTTGTGTACATTTAAGCACAATCGCTGTCCGCGGGTGCTGTGGTGTGATTTGCTCCTTCTTTCTTGTTAGACATCCATTGTCCTAATCTCTCCTCCTTTTTTGTGTTTGTTACTCTCTTGTAACACCTCTAATCTTCGACACTTTCATGACCTTATTGTGTTGCAAGTGCAGTAAAACTCTTTCTAAGACTAAAAATCTCTGTCCCAAGGTGAAAAGCCATACGAGTGTACAGTCTGTCATGCACGGTTCGCTGACTCTGGCATCCTGCAGACACACATGAGGTCCCACACGGGAGAGAGGCCCTTCACTTGTGACACTTGTGGACAGATGTTCTCAACCCAGGGAGCACTCAAAACTCACGCACGGATTCATACAGGTAGTGTGACTCAACTGTGCCAGTCTCGGCATTTGGGTCTATATCTATAGCGACTTTCGGTTTGATAGGGTTTTTTTAATGATTGGATTTGTCATGGAAAGGCTGTAAAGATCTATTATAATTTCAACGTAAAAGAAGCTATAAAGGATATTAGGTACCAGAAACTAACTTTTCAAAGTAGCTGTATGCCAAATTTATCTATTCCATTTGAAAGGCCTATATCCAGTGAGCATTTTGGTACCATTCTTTAACCTCTCAGTCAAATTTAAAGAAAATGGTAGTTGTTTAAAATTTGATCAAATTTGTTAAAGTCAGTCACTGGCTGCAACCACATGTTTGACAGATAATAAAAGAGTACCAAGTGCACTAAATATCTCCACATTAACAGAGTACGATCACTATAACAAATATATGGAGCCTAATTTTTTTCAAGAATGTGAGATCATTACAAATCAGTATTTTATCGCCTCAAACACGATGCTATGTCGTTATTTCGACAAAAACACCGAGTGTTGACCTTGCCGGCACCGCACCAGCCCCCCGCAGTGAGCGAGTTGGCTCTATACTGTAGTGTACCCCTCGTGCGGGGTCACATACTTTCCGAGTCTCGCGGAAGGATTGATGCAAAATGATTCCAAGCTAATTATTTTATTCTAATAGGAAATAAACTGATCTTTTAATTCATACCTCTTTTGAACTGGTATTTTACATATTTCGTGTAAAATATGATCTTTGAAAATGTTTACGGTATTTTTAAAGGTTTTCTATATAAGTGTCAAGGGCCAAAAATATAATAATAATAATAATAATAATAATAGATAGTATTTTTATAGCGCATATCCCCGCTCAACAGCAGGCTCTATGCGCTTTACACTATATTATTACCCCAGCAGACCATAGAACACTCCGAAACATTCCTAGCTTCCCGGGAAGCATACAGTGCAAGCAGCCGATTAAGCACTCAAACACTAACAAACTGACAAGATCTTTCGCTGTCTATAGCTGGGTACCCATTCCCACCTGGGTTAAGTGAGGAAAATTCGTGTAAAGTGCCTTTCCCAAGGACACAACGTCGGGTCCCTGACGGGATTCGAACCCACGACCTTATGTCGCGGGAGAGCCCGTTCAAAGCTCTACAGTTCTCCGCCAATGAATAGACGATATTTAATCATCCCTCGTTCCGCGAAGCATTTGAATGCATGCGTGTCAATTTTTGAACCGGCCGACCACGCATTCCGACCGCGAGGGGCTTTGCTTTCCTCGGTGATTCTCCAGCTCTTAATAATCGGACATATAAACAATTACACCATTGTAATGAGGAAAAGCTGAACTTTTACAAGGTGTACGGCATTTGGTGTTTTATAGCGAAAGAGCAAAGAAACAGAGATCGGAATTACCCCGATTTCACTGATACCATGGTACCATGCGGTCGGAAGGCCGCGAGTGCCCGCGAGGCCGTGTTTAAGCTACCTAATATTATACAAACAAAAATAGGGGTTAAGCTTACGTTTCTTCAGGAATGTCTTTTTCCCCATACTTTTTGAAACTGTCATTTAGGTTAATTTATCTATTTTATGCCACATGTCCATCGTTTCAAACACATTCCACAGTGCAGACTGCTTCTACCTCTTGTTTTCCATATTCACTTAATTTTATTTGGGTTTTGGTGTTTTTTAAAAAGTGTCTCAGAGTCAATGGTTTTTATTTTACTTCAGATCTTCTGAAATGTGATGTGTGTGTTTCTGAAAACATTTAAATAGTTTTTGCTTCACTATTGCCTTATTTAGTGTGCTTTTTTCCCCCAAAAGCCTAAGTTATGAAAGTATGAGAAACTGTTATTGGTCTATACACCATTTCATTAACATTTGTTTGTCTGACTAGTTAATTCCTCCTCCTCCCACTCCTTTTTAAAATTTACATTACTGCAGTTGTGAGTTTGTGTCTGGCCCTGACTTCTGTTCTTCTACTGTTTTATTGCCTTTCAAACTCAGCTTTATTCTTGTATTTCTTCCCTCCAGGAGAACTTCCGTATGTGTGCCCAGAGACAGATTGTGGGAAAGGGTTCCGTGACAGCAACCAGCTGAGATCTCACCAGACCGTCCACGCAAAACCTAACCATCTGTGCAGCAAATGCGGCAAAGTCTACAAGTTTAACATGTGCAAACATAGGTTGGTAAACATTGTTTGGTGTTTTCTTGTTTTGACTATACACTGTTCTTTTTTTTATACAGGACAACTGCTGAAATGTCGTTCGTCAGAAGGAAGGACTATTTGTTTAGGAGGCGGGCTGATTCAGCCCTGCCTGTCACAGACAACCCTGGTGGAGTGGGATACAGTACCCAGCAGACTGTCAGAGATATTCAATGAAATAACAACCACATATGGGATTCAAATGTTCTTTTTCTCTATTCATCAGCAAAGAGTCTTATTATTACATTTTATACACAAGTCTTGAAAGATTTTGTGTTTCTTCAGCCAAAGGGGGAATGTTTCTAAAAGAAATAAAATGAGATATGAGAGAACTTTGTTTTGTCATTGGGACGTTTTTTGTTGTTTTCAACAGTGGTTGGAAAAGAAATTCAGTTCCTTAAGTCTAATAATGCACTTGCACCGAAGAACACACACTCACACACACACACACACACACACACACACACACACACAAACACACACACACACACACACAGAGACCATTTCCATCACATACACACGCCCATAAAACGTTAAAGTCTCACTTCTCTTTCTCCGCTGTACCTCATTAAGCCTGTGGGTGACAGAGGAACGTGTAGAAGAGAGCGCCCTTTTCACAGAAGCTTGGCCGTTTGAGTTCAGTGATCTGAAAGAAATTCCTCAGTCATGCTCCAGATCATTTCATGTCCCCCTGGATCGTTCACCTCCAACGGGACCCATAGGTTGCCTTGTGCACATAGGTTTTGAATTTGAACTGAACACGTTCCCTAGACGAAACGAACTTCGCGGTTTCGGTTCATAGTCGTTATTCGGCATATTTTAGATTATTGCATAAGAGGTTCTGTCCCAAAGAAAGGACTTAAGACCCAATTTTCCTCAGTTCACCCTGCTGTGAATGTTTGGACGGCTTGAAAAAATAATAGCTTTTGGACAGACTGTCAAGTCAAATAGTCCATCCCTTAGGAAATGAGATGGCAGATTTAGATGAAAAGGTCAGTCTATGAAGTTAATGTGAGGTCGTGAGAGCCTACCTTCTGAAGGGATACATAGCTGCTATTGAATAAAGTTAACGTTAAGATGAATATTGTGGAGTTTGGCAATTGTTTGGCATTTCTTCTGAAATGTGGCTGGTTATTTGCCTTTCTCTTTGAAAATACACCCCTTTGTAACAGTGTCATAATTTATTTGTTGACCTTGTAAGGAGAAAGAATATTATTATGGACATTCTCGTGTCTCTGAGTAATAAGACGCATGCGTACCTTTCCAGGGCAATATAACTATCATCCAGAATTTCCATTCTGCAGGATTTCGCCTCTGTTATTATATAGCCGTCGTTTTGTATCGTTTGTCCTTTTCGTCTTTCGTTGCGAAAACGAAATTGTAACACGCAAGGTTTTGCGTCCCATAATGTTCGCTCCATATTATCTTCGCTCCACACTTTTATTTGTATTAAGTAAATCTTTGTAAGATACGAATAATTATAACTGCCACCACAGGGAGTCCGAGATACGAGTTAAGCTGATCGAATGTTTTGGGTTTGTTAGTTTATGTGTGTGCGTGTGTGTGTGTGTGTGTGTGTGTGTGTG